ATGGATGGATGGATGGATGGATGGATGGATGGATGGATGGACGGATGGATGGATGGATGGATGGATGGATGACAAATCTTTTTTTGGCTATTTCAGGATGGGAATAGTGTCGTGTCAATAACAGCACCCAAAAAGAAGAGACGATTTGGCAGATCAATTATGAGGAGTTTCAAAAGAAAGGTCAGCTATTTTGTTATCATCTGAAGTGTTTAATATTACATTTATTAAACAGTTAAGCGAAGCAAATTTGTCACACAGTTTTCTTTTATACTTTTCAGAGAAAAAGGAAAGTGCAGGTGAAGAACAAGGCCTTGTCGGACGGTGAATCGGACTACAGCAGCAGCCGGGAGAGGACTCAGATTGTTTACCATCCCAAGTAAAACCAATTATTGAAGCGAACATGTTATTTATCTAACGAATACATATCTGAAGTCACATTTTACAACTCTCCCTTTAGAAAAAGGAAAACAATGAGATTGTCTAGAGCTCTGTCTGACCTGGTCAAGTACACAAAGTCTGTTCGTGTACATGAGATAGAAACACAAGGTAAAGTCTAATATCACTGGAGTAGCAGTGTTCTGCTAAGGTCATGGATGCTATGCAATCACGGTTCTCTTTCTGGCAGCATTTGCAAGCAGCTGGCAGGTGTCGTCTCTAAATGAGACCGTAATGAACCAGATTTTACAGCTAAAACCAGGCGAGTTGGTGCTTTTGAACCAGCGCCAGCTCCTGAGAGTCTATCCGTCAAACTTCAGAGTGGACTCGAGCAACTTCAACCCACAGATGTATTGGAATGCAGGATGCCATATGGGTAACAGACTGTCACGTGTGCACTTAAAATAGACCTGATATCACCATCAGAGTTTCATCGTGCCATTTGAATAAATGTTGCCCTTTTGTTTTAGTTGCAATGAATTACCAAACAGAAGGTCCCATGCTTGAATTGTACCGAGCCAAGTTTGCAAGCAATGGAAACTGTGGGTACATTCTGAGGCCTAAGTGCATGTGTAAAGGTATGCAGACTGCAGAATAAATGACTAAGCCTTTAAGCAGAATGAATAGTAAAAACAATTTATTCTTTGCAGGTGCCTTTAACCCAGTGCAGGAGGTTCCTCTATCAGGACACAGAAAAACTCAACTGGTGCTAAAGATCATCAGCGGACAGCAGCTTCCCAAACCCAAAGACTCCATGTTTGGAGACAGAGGGGAGGTAACAACCTTTATTGTAAATACAAAATTTGAGTTTTAAAAGAAAGGTTTTATGTCTAAATTTCTGCCTTTTTCCCCCTTTTGTCTTATTGTGTTTTTAGATCATTGATCCCTTTGTTGAAGTTGAGATCATTGGTCTGCCTGTTGATTGTTCCAAGCAGCAGACCAGAGTTGTGGATGACAATGGTGTGTACAGAAATCATACCAGAGAATTTTCTAAATGTTGTCATAGCAATGGTTTGTCAGTGTTAATGTTTTATTTTGATTTTTTTAAATATTTCAATTATCTAGGTTTTAACCCCATGTGGGAGGAGACCCTTGTCTTCAACATTCAAATGCCTCAGATCGCCCTCGTGAGGTTCCAGGTGTGGGATCACGATCCTATTGGACGAGACTTCATTGGGCAGAGGACTGTGGCTTTCACCAGCATGATGCCAGGCAGGTTTGATGATAACCTCTCCAGAATTGGACTGAAGATCAAATTGTACTTTTTTTTTTTTATTTAGCCTTTATTTATCCAGGTTAGTCTCATTGAGCCACGAGAACTCATTTTCAAGAGAGACGTGTTTTAGGGAGCACATGGTGGGGGTTAAGGGCCTTGCTCATGGGCCCAGAGTGGGGCGAATGAGGGTGGGGGCAAGTGTGGGTGTTTCACCTACCCTACCCACAATTTTGATGTTGTCGGGGCCGGGGCGTGAACCGGCGATCTTCGGATCACAAGCCCACCTCTCTAACCTCTGCGCCACCACTCCCCCAATTTCCAATTGATGAAAGACAATTATTTTACACAAATACACATAGTATTTCCTTTATTTGAATCTTTTCAAACACTGCATTAGAACAAAACAGACACAATTTACAGAAACATTTTATTATCATTCTATGAAGAGCAGGCAATCATGATAGTTGCTTGTGTAAGTGTGTGTCTGTTAGCAAAATATCTCGTGAATTTCTGGACAGGTTTTTTAGTGAAACACTTGTAAATTAATTGTTGAATCTCCCTCTTGAAGTCAACCTAATTTAAGATGACCACCCCAGCTAAATGACCATAGCAAACTCAAAAATAGCTACGTCTCAAACCCTTTTACATAATGGTGTGCCACTTGTTGAGAATCACCTAGTACCAATTTAATGCTACCAATTAACCGAAGTCCACGAAACAAAAAAAGCATCTGTTTGCCAACAAATGATTTGTCAGCGCTCTGATTAAAATAAAATTGTCAGTGTCTATCTGAAGAGAACAGAAATATTAACCAGTTTGTGTGATTTGATTTCTCAGGTTATCGACATGTCTACCTGGATGGAATGACAGAAGCATCAATCTTTGTTCATGTTGCTATCAATGATTTACCAGGAAAGGTACAGTGTTTTAAATTGGTATTTTGTAAAAAAATAAAAATAAAAAAAAATTAAGAAGTTTATTTTGTTTTTTTTGTTTGTAAAAACAGATGAAACCTGCTAATGCTATGCAAGCAGCCAGAAAACATATCCAAAAAGCAGCTCAGAAGCATATGAAGAGCAACCAAAGGCATCCATCACTAGAAGTCTCTGTCCAGTCCTCAGAGGATGGGCGTCCCCTTTTCTTCCACAAGGATTTGGACACCGTCTCACAGGACAGTAGGACTGGGGAAATGTCTTCAATGGCGCAAGGGCCAGCGATCAGGGCTGCCATTCACAAAGGAGCCATGAGTGAGCCAGTGAGGCGAGCTCACAGAGTTAAGATTCATGAACCGCCAGAGACGAGGAGAGGCTTCTTTAGCCGGATGTCTTCCACCGACTCAAACCACGGCGGGACAGCTCCCTGTGTGAAAGAGGAAAACTTTGACCCCGACACCCCTTTTCAGCTTTCTCATCCTGAGAATCCAGCTTCTGATGGCCAGAATCCAACAGAGCAAAAAGAGGAAAATGAACCATCAAACTGTACTGAGATGCAGATGGGAAAGGGATTCAAACTGGAGCAGCTCGAGATACCAGAGGAAGCAGAGCCAGATGAAGACGTTTTCAGTGAATCTGGGCAAACGCCAGAAGCTCAGAGCCGCACAGATTCTGTCCCACAGTCTCAGCTCGTTCAACCGTCTGAAGCCAAACTCTCGATGCTCATCCCCGCATCATCCCCTGCCAGGGTGGGATGGACCTTAGATGCCCCTCCTCACATCCCTCGGTTCCTATCACACGTTGAACACAATCTCTCAACACTTATCCCCCCATCATCTCCCGCCAGAGTCAGACGGACATTAGAGGTTCCTCCTCACATTTTACCGTCCACACCAATACGAACCAAAGCCCTCGTACGCTGTGTCCCCAGAAAACAGACTGCCTCTCCGCAGACGCCTGCAGTGAATCGCAAGCCTGCTTTCCACTGGCAGACGCAGCAAGAACAGACTTACAGCAAGCAGGTGAGGCGCATCCCCAACGGCCTCTGCCTGTCGGACAGCACGTCCAGCTCCAATGACGGCAGCACCGACAGCCTGGAGTTTGTTCCTGCCTGTGTGCCAGCCGGGCCAGAGCAACGAGAGGGCACCCTGCAGAGGGAGATGAAGGCCCTGTTTGACCAGAAGATGAGAGAAATTCACTGTAAATCACCACTTTTTCTAGATGGCGAGTCCTATTTGCAAGAGAACTTGTAAATATGTAGAAACATCCGCAGTTGAAAAAGAACGTGTTGCAGTTGTGTCATCCTGAGATTGACTTGTCTCAACTGTTTTAAGACTTGCGACTCCTAATACCAAAGCCCTTCAGAAGAAGAAGGAAATGACCACAGAACTCAAGTAAGAGATGGGCAAGACAGAAGAGGGGACCGAGTCTCATCTCTGACATTAATAAAGAAACATTTTATTTGATTTTAGCACAGCTGGAATGTTTACAGTCAACATATGAAACTCATGGATTCACTTGATGCTGCTGCCAAATGTACAAAGAGCTTAAAGCGACATTATAAATTTGTAGGCTACTAAAAATATGAGCTTTGTTGGCCACTTTTGTTCAGATTTTAAATGTAAACTTGGATTAAAAATCATTTTTAACAAAAAAAAAAAGATATTTCAGTATTCCTTGAATAATTAGTAAGACTTAATAAAATGTGAGTTTTTAGGGTTACATTTTTTCCGTTGGATAAGAGGTCAATTAGTTCAAAGTTTAGTTCTGAGAATTACTCTTCTAAATGAAGTTAAAGAAAAAAATCCTTGACTAGTTAATGTTTCAAGGTGTTTATGCTTTTTCTTTCTCTACATTTTCCTGGGGTTTGTTCGCTCTGCCGTTTCTCAGGCGCAGACTCAGCTCCTCGTTCAGCACAGCGCAGCAGGATTTCTGAAAAGATGGACACGAACACAGAAAAACACTAGAATGTATCACACTGATACCTTTAATGTGAACTTTGGTTTACAGATGAATTTGTGCACAAACATGAGTATGATTTTTATGATTTGTCGATTTATTTCACAAAAACAGACCATTTTTGACTATAACTCATGTATTTTAATGGATGAAGAAATTCTGCAGCTATCAGGCTACTTGAAATTATGTGCACTTGCACATACCTGCTGCTCTGCTGCTCTTTTGCGACTCTGAAAAGTGAGCTCAAGGACAGCCAGAAGCATTCCCAGTCCAAGGCCCAGAGACAGAACCAGGAACATCCCCTTCAGGCTGTGTGACTGCAAAGCTGAAGGTTTGACTTTATCTGCAAAGCAGCTGCTGGCCCACCATTTGCTTCGCAGATAAGCCAGCTCTCCGGCCTCGCTCAGCTGAAGGATGGCAACACTGAGGTTCTTTATGATTGGAGAACCTTGACGGAAGGCAACATTTTACGATTAGATTTATTTCACTTTCAGGTTTAATTTATGAAAGTTCAAGATGAGAAGCCTCACCGAGAGCCGTAGCAATGCTGTATCCTCTCATACCAACAACTTCGTGCGCTCTCACCAGCTCACAGTGACGGGCCACGGCCAAGTCCAAAGAAACCGACTCCCCAATGAAAGCATAGTTACCTTCTTTGACACGTCTGACACCCTCATCCATAGATGACACAAAACTCTTTGTTCTCTCCATGTGCTCGTATATTCTGCGGTACACGGGGTTGTTTGAATTCTGGAAGATGGAAAGCAACAGATTTCTAGTGAACTCTTACAAAGCAGATCAATCTTTAAGTCGCACTTGCCTTGAAAAAAGCGAGGGTGGAAGAGCCAGCCAGGCAGCCATACTCGATCATGTTCTGATTGGCCAAGTCCTCAAACCCTTTCACCGTCAAGCGGCTGGACTCTGAAGTCTTGGACGAACTCAGGTTGGAGAAGTAACAAGCCAAGAGGACGACAGAAAACAACCACCAGCTGCTGCAGATGACGCGTCCAGACGGAGCTCTGGGATGATGACCAACGCCTGAAACACAGATGCAGTCCATCAGTAGGATAAGAGGGGAAAAAATGGCAGAAAAACATGGTTATTTGCAAAACTTCTTCTTCTTCTTTCGGCTTTTCCCTCTTCAGGGGTCGCCACAGCGAGTCATCCTCCTCCATCTCACTCAGTCCTCACTCCTCCATGTCCTCTCTAACTGCATCCATATATCTCCTCTTTGTCTTTTTCCTGGCAGCTGCATTTCTAACATCCCTCTACCAATATACCCACTGTCCCTCCTCTGGACATGTCCAAACCATCTCAGTCTGGTCTCTCTAACTTTATCTCCCAGTTGTTCAACCTGTGCTGTACCTCTGATGATCTCATTTCTAATCTTATCCACCCTTGTCACTAATATGATTATAAAATGAAATGACATACAACTGTAAAAAGTTATTGGGAATAATGACGCAGCAGAATATCAGTGTTTGGCTGTGCAGTGGTGGACTATCGCTAGTCTTGTACAATTGCTCAGTAATATAACAAAACTATTAACTACCGGTGAAAACTCTTTAGTTGTGTTTTGAAAGGTAAATTTGATAGAACTGAACCACCTTTTAAACATTGTGTTGTTTGATTAAAAGCAAATTTAGAAAAAAAAACATTGACTTCAGTTTATCAAAAGAGAAAATAATTCAAATTTTAACAATAGTTTTACAAGTTTGGTGTCCTGGTGTATTTCTTTACATTGACTTGTCTCTTCTTCAAAAGAGGGTCATCATCAGTCCAACATGTTGGGACACATTGTGTTAAAAGCTCTGCTAAATTAACATTAAAACAAGAGCTGAACCGAAAATGATATTTTATGCTAACTAACCACGTGATCTGTTACTTTACCAGGATGGAGAGGACATGTAACGAGTTTACAATTTATAATAAACCACTACAAGTTGCTGCTGTTAATCTGAAATGAATTGAAATCAGTCATTTATCGACATAACTCCATGTATCTTTGCTGTTTACCTTGTAGAGTTAGAGCTCCAGCTGTATACCACAGGCTGTAGAGGAAACTGAATCTGTTTTTCTCACTCTGAGCCTGACTCCACTCACATGGGCTGAGTCTGCATTTTACACAAGAAATTAAACCACCAAAGTGTAAAGAACAAATAATTACAGACAGGACGTCACATTGTTAATAAATCTTGATTATTATTTGTTCAAAGGTGACAAAGACTTGTCTTATCACCAACCTGGCTGTGACAAAGATGCAGGCAGCAGTGGCCACGTAGGCGAGGAGTACGCCAATCCATGTTTCCAAGGAAAAAGGAGTCAGGAAGTCAAAGAAGCCTGCTTCCTCTGAGATGTCTTTCCTCAGCAAGATGCTGATCCCTGTCTGCATGAAGGGTTTGGTCATGCCCACAGCTTTCTCCCGAGCTGCAGTGAGAGTCAGTGGCGCAATCGCAAGGTCTGCCTCCTGCATATAGAAAACATTGATGCTTTCTGCTTGTGTCAGCAAATATCAAAAAGATGTCTGTCAGTAAGGGAACAGTATTATTGTGTGAGTCACCCAGCCTTGGTTCCTTCCAAGATTTATTTAGTTTTTTTTTGTACTCACCTTTCTAACCACCTCTCCAATCATCCCATTCCAGTTCCCGTTCTCATCTTGCCTGCCGTACGAACCGTCTTTCACCAGCTGCACTTTGTACTTGAAGCTGAGTTTTTTAGCTACTTCAGAGAGCAAGTCCATGCAAAAGCCTTCCAGTTGGGAGCCTTTGGTCATTGTATATGGCTCTTGCTAAAAAAAAAAAAAAAAAAAAAGATAGAGAACAATATTCTGATGCACCTCATCTTAAAGGTTGTCTGACACTTGACATATGGGTTAAAGCAATAGATCAAATACCTTTATTGTTGTGATTCTCAGCTCAGATTGAACTGATGTGGATGAAAAAAAAACACATTAGTTGCAGTTTTAAACATTTCCTAATTTTAGACAAAAATACCTTCAATACTTAAATCACTGAACAGTTCCGCCCCATCCTATCTCACTGATCTTCTGCAGCCGTATGTCCCACCGCGCTCTCTGAGGTCAGCAGACCAGATGCTTCTCTCAGTCCCAGAAACCCGTCGTAAGCTCAGAGGTGACAGGGCTTTCTCTGTTGCAGGTCCACGACTGTGGAATGAGTTGCCACTGAGTGTCCGGCAGGCTCCCACACTCTCAGTCTTTAAGTCTCGCTTGAAGACCCACTTCTATTCGCTTGCCTTTAACATGGTGTGATTTGTTTTGGTCCGGTCTGTTCTCTACTCTGTTGGCCATTTTAGTTAGCTTCTGCTGCTATTTGTATCTGTATTTCTATTTTATGTTTTCCTGTCTGCTGTGCATGTTTGTGTTCTTTTGTACAGCACTTTGGTTGGCCTTGTTGCTGTTTTAAGTGCTATATAAATAAATTGGTATGGTATGGTATGGTATACATCCTTTGTTCTGGATATTGTGATAAATTTAGGAGACTGCAGTCCTGCATTGATTTTAGTTTTATTAAGTATTGAATTTAATCACTTTTTCTATTCACAACTCTCAGAGGAAGATGTTTTCAGTGGCCTAAATTTTATTTAAAGTGTACGGCGCAAAAAAACAATCCTTCAGCTCCTACTGGCCAGAGGGACTTCTTAAAGTGTGGAGACATTTAGGATGAACCATGGCGCAGACGATTCATGTTCTGTGGTCAAAACAGGTCAGGATTGTAATAAATATAACAAATACAACTTTTCGTAGTGACACATGCATTTTTAACATTCTGCACACATTAAAAAAGGCCTGACTTTGTAAGATGTACTGAAGTGACCTGCCTGCAGTTCTCCACTGCAGCAGAGAGCGCAAGAAATATTGAACCGAAAATGAAATGAAACCCGTTACTGCTGCACATCTCAGTGTTTTTCATGAAAACATTGAACCACACAACACCTAAAGCACTTTACTGCTCATCTTATGGCAAAAAGTCTTTTTAGCAAATGTTTAATAATTTTTTGCATTATTTTGCATTTATAACAGGTCTTATATATATGAATGAATAATGCAGATTAATAGAGAAAAAAATGTTAAATATATTTATGACAGGAAAGGAAGACACTTTGTAGGGGATTAATAAATGTCAAGTAATCATTATAGTCAGGAAGCTACTTCCAGTTTATTTTTCGCTCTAGCTTTTGAAGCTGATGTCCATTATAAATTAAACATATAGTCAAAGTTCCTGTGCCTGGACCAACTCTGACACAGAGACATACTTGTGTTAAAATTTGGGATGCATGTATAGATTTTCTGCTCATGAGGGGGTTTCCGGTGTCCTAGAGATCTTGAGTAATTTCTTTCTTCTGAAAAGTACACTCCGCAATCTATTTAAAGCAGTGTGTTAAAGAGTCTCAGTGGCATAGCAGTGTTGGATGGAAGGCTAAACAAAGAGCATCAAAAGCCTCGATTCAGGCCAAAACCTCAGGGATCCGTCCCCATGGAGAGATCCTGACAACCATCAGATCCTCCTTTAACAAATAAAAATAAAAATAAAAAGACGACATGTATGTGAGCTTGTCAAGCCCCCAAAACCTTTTGGCCTCTCTGAAACACAAGGTCTTTGTTTGCATCAAAGGCTTGATTTATTACCAGTTTTGTGAGATGGTCATTGGCTCGATTCCTTCTGTTGGGAAAGATGTGATCAACAGAGGATGCCATCTCCTCTGTGGTCCACTGCTCTCACCCATCTGGAGCAGAAGGACTCCTACGTCCATATGATCTTTGTGGACGTCACATCTGCCTTCAACACCATGATCCCCCAGACCCTGATGGACAAACTACTCACAATAGCTCATCTGTTTGAAACTGGGTCCTAGACGTCTTAACAAACAGACCAGAGTTAGTGAGGATCCACAACTTCTCCTCCACGATAACCCTCAGCACTGGCTCCCCTCAGGGCTGTGTGCTGAGCCCTCTCCTGTTCACTCTGCTCACGTATGACTGTGCAGCTACCCATCCGGGCTGTCACATTGTAAAGTTTGCAGATGATACAGCGGTGGTTGGATGCATCACAAACAATGATGAGTCCAGCTACAGGCAGGAGGTGGAACACCTGGAGAGCTGGTGCAAGGAGAACAACTGTCACATCAATGTGAAGAAGATGAAGAAGATGGTCGTGGACTTCAGAAGGAACAAGCACACGTACCCCACCCCCTGAATATAGGGAGACCTGTGGTGGAACTGGTCTCCATCTACAAGTACTTGGGTGTGCACCTGAATGACAGCCTCAGCTGGGGCAACACCACCAGCTGATCAAGAAAGCTCATCAGAGACTCTACTTCCTCAGGCGGCTGAGGCGAGCTGGTCTGGGAAACTCAGTCCTCACCTCCTTCTACAGGTGTGCAGTGGAGAGCATCCTGTGCTCCAACATCAACGTGTGGCATGGAGGCTGCACAGCTGCAGAAAGAAAAGCTTTGCAGAGAGTGGTGAAGGCTGCACAGAAGATGTTGGAGTCAGTCTCCCCACCATCACAGACATCTACACCTCCAGATGCAGGAAGAGGGCCACCTGCATCATGAAGGACCCCACTCACCCAGCACACACACTTTCTGCTCCACTCCCCTCAGGCAGAAGGTTGAGGAGCATTAAGTGTAGAACCACGAGACTGAGGAACAGCTTCTACCCTGAGGTTGTTAGACTCATGAATCTCTAATCAGGATAATCACTGTGAAAAAAAATTACTGTCATGCCACTTGATTGTTGATATGTGTTGCTGATTATCCATGCTGCTGAGCTCATGCTGCTGATTTAGTTCATGTTGCTGTGTTCATTCGTACTCATCTGCTCACACAGACTCATGTTCGTTCTGCTGTTGTTTGGTGTGTTGTTTTTGCACTATAGCGTATTCTTAGTTCAGCACATGTCTTAGATCATATCTTAGATCTTATTACTGTTTTTCTTTTACAATTTATACTTTTGTTGGATGTAACTGGGACCCTGTGCACACATTTTCGTTCCACCACATGTACCACATGCGATGCAAATGACAAAGAACCTTAACCTTGAATCGAACTGCCACACCAAAAGAAAAATGCATTTACTGGGAATCAGCTGTCACTTTTCTCTACATCAATGCACTAACAAGGATAAATGTAGTAAATTGTTTCTGTTTTCATATAAACATCAGATGCAAATAGTGTCTTACCTGCCATGCACACTCCTATATCCAGGAAAAATACAGAAGGCAAAAGAAAAAAGCCAAGCAGCATTCTGGCTCTTATGATTTTCAACTTATAAATAAATGAAACTTGAGGGTTTATGTTGCATCAGAAGGTGGTGTTACCTTTAAAAATGTAAGCAAACATAAACAAATGCATAGAAAATAAGCAAATAGTTTAAAAAACAGACAGTGTGTAGAAAGTGCAAAATTAAATTCATACCTGCGAAGAGTCCAAAATGTGAGTGAAGGATCGGTCTGTCAGCTGCAAACGGAGACTGTGAGAGTTGAAGTTTTTTAGATTAAAATGTGTCAGGAAAGAGCCAATCAAGTGTTTGTGGGTGGAGAAAAAATATGCAATGAATGGGTGGAGAGAAACAGCATGATGTGAAAAACATTGTTCCTAATGAGGAAAACAAATCTAAGAAAAAGAATGTCTGTATTTATTGTACATGAGTAGATGAAACATAATCAGATGAAGTTGTGAAAAAACAAAAACTGTCCTAAAATTATGTTTGAGCTAAGTTTAAAAAACTTAACATTTGTTTTACACTTTAACTAAGACATGTGCAAAACTGGATTTTGTTTCAACCCCAAAAGGCATGATATAGTGTTCTAAATAAAATGTAATAATTACGCATTTTTAATTTGTGTACGTGAGTGTGCAAAACTTTTAAACCACCTATAATTTATTTATACTTCACTCCAAGGCTTTTCTGTAACATTTTAAAGTAGACTTGACTATAAAAAAAATTCAAAAGACTATTGAAATATTTTACTATAGCTTCTTGAAAGTAAAATAATAATAAAAAATAGGACTGAAGCAAAAGTATTGCATTTGTAAACATTGGTAGCATTATTTATTTTATTATTTATTAGTAACCTGCAGTATGCAATTGTTTAAAAGTTTTAGTTACCGTATATATTTTCTGGACCTCGAGTGCTCTGAGTATTAAAAGTGGTAGGACCAGTGGTGTAGTCTACATTTTTGTAGTGGGTATACTGTGCTTAGAAAACAAAGTACACTGGTTAGTCCAATGTAATCGTTGATTTATTTAGATTTTTAAGCATATTGAACATTTCCAAATTTCTCTGACGCTTTTATTTGAATAAATGTACGACAAACTTTGTACAACAGTTGGCTTTGTATTAAAAAACATAGAATTTATGAAACAGTATCAAAGCAAAACATATTCAAATATTAATTAAGTACAGAAGTATTTTTTTATACCTGGATTATTGAGCATGGACTTTGTTGTTACAGAAGTATTAATTATACAAAAAAGTATTAATACAAAAAACAGGTTGTTAACCAACTCAATGTGTCTATAAAATGTTTCAAATGTGTTGACAATGTCAATGATACATGACATATGCTCGTGTCATTGGGCACTTTTAAGTAGGTATACTGACATTCCCAAGCTTTTCTAGTGGATATACTCCGTATACCCACGTATCACATAAACTACACCACCGGAAATGTAATTTAGACATTTGTGAGCCTTTCTTGGTGTATTTTTCATAATAAATGGATTTCTTCTGAGGGAATGATATGAAAGGAAGGAGAAAAATTATATTTTAGTCAAGAACACGTTTCTTTTTGGGGTTAAAGGGGGAAAAAGCCACACTGGGAATGTCTACATCTTTTTGGCTCTATAATAAAGTATTTTCTTCTGTTTTTAATGCTCCGGAGTACACTTCTCTGTTCGAGGTGTTTTTAACATGAAGTGCACAATAAATAAACATATGCTATGCAACTGTTCGGTGTTATGGCGGTGACCGTCCTGTTGTTTTTCTCGCCGTCTCTCTCCGTGCTGACCTCCAGCACGAGCCCGCTCAATCCGCTTCGTCTCGCGGACCAACCTCAAACCGGTGCGCGTCGCGTGCGAGGTATGGCGTCGACCTGCAATTGGCTGAGGTGATTTTTTTCTTCCAAAGGGGCGTATTTTTCAAGCCATCTTGACTGAATATTTAGCCTCTTCCAAGGTACATTAATTTGATATCTTCGGGATTTTGTGGCCCCCGAGTTGTCCGCCGCCATCGTTTGAAAGGCTCAAGCCGTACCAATGTAACCGGGTCGAGTCTGCGTGTTCGTCCGAAGCCCCAGCGGAGAAGCGGGGCGCTGAAAATAAAATGTCGCTCCCTGAAATTACCGGCCAAGCTAAGCTAACGGCTAACATGTCCGCCTTTGGTCGGAGCCTGCCACTAGCTGACATTTAACCAGGAGCGATTCTTCCGTTTGGCACTCGCGCTGCGGAGGACGGTTCATCGAGGTAAAAGACTCTGGTGTTTTTAGAATTATCAGCACTGTTTTAGAAACACTTCCGTTGCTAATATTTGTGTGTCCTGTCCGATCGAGCAACGTTATCGCATCAGGCAGAGACGGCCGTTTTTGCAGGGGTCTGGAGCACAAAGAGATGGCCACAACGGCGCTCCGTCGCTGTGTCGTGCCCTAACGTCTACATGCCATAATTTAATGCATTAAGGTACGATGCACAGGCAGCAGTTACTCTCTGGTGGCTGACTGAATGTGTAATTGGGCTGCTAATCATCTTGCAATACAAGCACCGTCTCTGCTGTTGTGCGTCTAAAATGGCTGACAGATGTTAGATACTCGGGCTGGTATTTAGCGCTCGACAACCTAACGCGCTTAGCAACAGGGTGGAAAAACACGATTCTGACTTGTGATTGGTCCAACTGCGTTACCGACAGGTGACTGGACCAATGAGCGTACAGCTGAGATGCAAGCGGCGCAAATTGCTGTGTTTGTGTTTGTCAGCAAGGCTGCTTGAAGCAACAATCCATGTTATTAGAGTTTAGCCCCTTTTACATATTAATTACTATGTCAAAGAGTAAAAAAAAATACACCCACGTGTTAGAATTTAAACCAAGCTTTTATGTCAGAATTGTTGAAGCAGTATGTTGATTATGAATATAATTATTTAAAGCCATATTTGATTATTTGTTTATAACACTTTTGACATGTTTCTTTTGCTTTAGTTGCATTTTTAGCATAACTTCCAACACAAGGAGGCCAAAATTAAAGGCTTGGTCTGAGCCAAGGCCCAGTCTCTGTCAGTATTTATTGAAAAATATATGATTTAGGGCTGCACAGTATATCTTGAGTTTATAATCATTTCAGTATAGCGTAGTATCAATATTGCAAAGGACACCTTGGACTGCAATAAATCATAAGCCATTATATTTCAATATTCTTCCATTCATGTTCTGCCTGCTAATATTATATTTGGTCAATCCAACAGACTCATTGGCTTCTATGCCAACACCTGTTCCCACACACCTTGAGTTTGACACATGTGCAATAGATTATATGTATAAAATGGTAATAGATGCATTTTGTGTGAACATGTGTAGGTTCAATGTCATTAATCTGTCTGTCATACTGCAGTTCAATTTATAATCAAAATGCAGTTTAAAATAAATCAAATTAAGACTAAATTGACCCATAAATCTAACAAAACGAGGACCTTTAGAATTTAGTATTGTTTTGGGAACTCATTGACAATGGATAGTCTTATTATGAGGCTTGTATATGTTAACAATGTTTTAAATACAAATAGAATTGTGACACAGGCATTATAAACCTGCAAGTTAAATATTTAATTTAGATAAAAGTTCTCATAAAAACAATTTAAAACATCCTTACAGTTTGAGGGAAAATCTAACATGCTTATTCAGAGTATTGTGTATTAATTTGAAACATCAAGCAATTTTTAGATTGAAAGATGTGTCTTACACTTGCTTTACAATATTTATATTTGTTTTCAGCAACTACAGTAAATTATCATTTTTACAGTAAAAGATGTTTTAATTGCTTTTTTATTTTTTCCTGTCCATTTGTCAGAGATTGGAGTACAGTCCTATGCGGAAGGTACAAAAGCGGGAATGCAAGACATTTGTTAGAGGACTCAATATGGGAAGGGGTCGAGGCAGAGGGAGAGGAAGAGGCAGGGGGTCATCTGGTCAGCTGCGGTCCCCCTCGCCTTACAGACTGCAGCTCTCCCCATCCAGGGAAACCTTGACATACGCTCAGGCCCAGAAAATTGTGGAAGTGGACCTTGAAGGAAGGCTCCATCGAATTAACATCACAGATCTTCTGCCAGTAATTACAGAGGATGAAATGATGGCTCAGGACATAGCAGAGTGCAACAGCAACAAGGAAAACAGCGAGCAAACGCAGAGTAAAAACAAATCATGGAGGAAACCCTCTAACAATAAAAGCAGAAGGAGCAGTAAAAATGTGTCTCAACAAAATCAGCGGACTGGCTCGCAGCAGCATACTGGATCTACTTATTCTTTCCAGCATCTGTCTCAAACCCCTCTGCCTGAGCCCACATTTCATGTGCTGAGTTCAGTTTCTCCATCTGAGGTGCCTCCTCTCCCAGCAGCCTACTACCGTTACATAGAAAAGTCTGGGGAGGAGCAGGACAGTGTGGCTGAGTACGACATGGACGAGGAGGACTTGGCTTGGCTGGAGATGGTGAACCAAAAGAGGGTGTCTGATGGCCATGCGTCTGTATCTGCGGACACTTTTGAGCTTCTTATCGATCGCCTGGAAAGGGAGTCGATCCTCGAGTCCCGCAGCCAGGCTCTGTCCCATAATGCTGTTGATGAAGATGCTTTCTGCTGCGTTTGCTTGGACGATGAATGTCTGAACAGTAACGTCATCTTGTTTTGTGACATCTGCAACTTGGCCGTCCACCAGGAGTGCTACGGTGTGCCCTATGTACCTGAAGGCCAGTGGCTGTGCCGCTGCTGCCTGCAGTCCCCCTCCCGCCCTGTAGACTGTGTGCTCTGTCCAAACCAAGGAGGTGCCTTCAAGCAGACGAGTGACGGACGATGGGCTCATGTTGTGTGCGCCATATGGATCCCAGAGGTTTGCTTTGCTAACACAGTGTTCTTAGAGCCCATTGAAGGAGTCAAAAATATCCCTCCTGCTCGCTGGAAGCTTACATGCTATCTGTGTAAGCAGAAAGGCAGGGGAGCATCCATTCAGTGCCACAAAGCCAACTGTTACAGAGCTTTTCATGTCACCTGCGCCCAGAAGGCTGGCTTGTATATGAAAATCGATCCGGTCCGAGAGACGGGCGTTAACGGCACCACCTTCTCTGTGAAGAAGACTGCTTTCTGTGAGCATCACTCCCCTGTTGGGTCTCGGCGGGACGGGTCTGGAGATGAGTCCATCGAAGGAAGGATGGTAGGGGGGAGGGGTAACAGAGGTCAAAGGTCATATACACAAAGCTCACCCTCACCCACTAACAAGAAGGCAACCAAAGGTCAGAAAAAGAAGAATTCAAAAGGGTCTGGTTCAACACGTCGCTCGAATATTCCTGTGCTGCTTGTTCCTCAGATCCCCTCTCACAGGTATGATGACTATTGCTTATCTTTTGTTTCATTGCTGTTTTTGTTGCTTCAAAAGAAGTTTTCCATTACAACTCTGAAATTTTGACTGTTTTAACAGAATTTCTAAACTTATTTCTTTACACATTTTAATGTATGATTGTTACATTGTTCATCATAGGCTGAACAAGATCTGCACGGGGGTTGAAGTACAAAGGAAAAATCAGTTCATGCAGAGACTTCATAATTATTGGTTACTGAAACGTCAGTCACGAAATGGCATGCCTTTAATACGCCGGCTTCATTCTCATCTACAAGCTCATAAAACTGCAGAGCAGGTAAACGTAACTATTTAAAGTGTTCATCACACAGCAGTTTTTATGCTGTTGTGAAAACTAAGTACTAATGGTTTGGCCATGTTTGACATGAAATCGGGTATTTGTCTTTCGTTTGATATTCAGCGGGAGCCAGATGAAAAGCTGAGTGCTGCAAGAGAGGAACTGCGATACTGGCAAAAGTTGAGGCAGGACCTGGAAAGAGCTCGACTTCTGGTGGAACTTATCCGTAAGAGAGAGCGGTTAAAGAGAGAACAGGTGAAAAAGAAGTCTGAAGCAAGACACAAGAAATAATTGTCTCGAGTATTTTTTATATATATAGTTGGTCGTAAGTATTAGTAGGATCAGAACAAAAAAGTGGTAACATTCCAAACAGTTTAGGATTTAAATGAGCAAATAAGTGTAATGTAATAATCGAGGCGGCTTTAGTCCATCTTACTCTGCAGCATTTGTAACTTATTTTAACTTTGTAAAGTGACCTTGTATTTCCCTCTGCTCTGTGCTTTGTTGTTATTGTCACCGTTAGATGAAAATCCAGCAGGCTGCCCTTGAGTTAACGTTGACTCCTGCTCTGGTGCTTCTGCAATCCACCTTGGACCAGCTGCAAGAAAAAGACTCAGCCAAAATCTTCTCTCAGCCTGTCAACCTATCAGAGGTTGGTGTTACGTAGAGCAGCAATCTTGTTTTATTTGCTTTCTTCATTTACTTTGGGTTAACTACGACCTAGCTGACATTCTTATTTTCTATGATTTACGGAGGTCCCAGATTACCTGGAGTTTATATCCCAGCCCATGGATTTCTCCACGATGCGCACCAAACTAGAGGGACACGCCTATTGCTCAATTGGGGATCTAGAGAAGGACTTTGATCTCATGATCTCAAACTGCCTGAAATACAACTCCAAGGACACCCTGTTCCACAAAACAGCCTTACAGCTGCAGGAGGTGGGGGGAGCCGTCCTCCGTCATGCCCACAGGCAGTCTCAGACCATTGGCCTGGACCCAAACACTGGCATGCACCTGCCAGAAGCACCAAACAAACATGGCTTCTACCACTGCACATGGGAGGATGGTGAATGAGAACTAGATGTGTTTTCCTCAACATATAACCAACATCCTTCGTCTGTGCTTTGGTTTAATGTTTGTTCCCCGTCTCTCCACAGTCGATTCTCTCCTGGATCCAGAAAACAGACTGCACCTTACCACAGAGGAGCAGCTCAAAGCCTTACTGGATAAACTGGACATAGTCGCCTCGATGCACACCAGTGGCGGTCGCACCAAACGCATTAGGCTTCTGCGCCGAGAGATCAACACTCTGAGACAGAAGATGAACCAGGAGCAGCAAAGTGCTCAGTCCATGAATGGAAACAACAGGGATCAAGAAGAAAATGAAGAGGAGGATGAGGAGGTGGTGGAAGAACAGCCAAAGAAGGGAAAGAAAAAAAAGGAGGATGCTGAAAATTGCCCTTTAACTGCAGTGTCAAACTCTACAATGGGTACAATACCTTTTTTTTAAATCCTTATAGCGTTTGTTTTGCTTTTTAATCAAGACAGAATTTGTGTTCAATGAATGCAGTTTTGTGATGTCAAGTTTCTCATTTCAACTGCCAAATATCCTGGAGTTTTACGTTTCAAGTTGTGTAATTCATTAATGGTTCATTTCATGAATTAATTTAGTTCATTTAATTCATTAATGGTTTTTAGCTGTTTTTTTAACAACAAATTTCTCTACGATCCAGATGATTCTCCACCTGTCCTAGAGCTTACCTGTCCAGTATCATCACCCTTACCAGGAGATGCCCCTCTGGAGCCCCCTGTTCTGGGCATTGTGACAGGAGGGCGGAGGTCACCTGGGCGTTCCTACAAGCGCCAGAGGTCCTCACGCAGTGGAAACAAAAGCCAAGGTGAAGATGAGGCAGAAGTGGGAGAAACTCCATCTTCTCAACCTGAGGCTGTTCATGAGGTTACACCCCTTGGCACACCTCCAACCCTGACTGTGGCTGGGGTGGGCCGTCGCACATCTGTTCTGTTTAAGAAAGCTAAAAATGGGGCACGGATGGGAAAGAACAAGTCCACTCCACTGCAGAATGGGAAAACCTCTGAGGGGAAAACCAATGGTCTGGATACAACACTCGTTAGCCCAGATTCAACCAGTGAGAACACAACCACCTTACCTCCTACCCCCAACACCTCCCCTACCTCTGCCTCTCCTTCCACACACCACTTGCGTTCCAGAGGCCCCAGCTCAGAGAGCGAAGCTGACAACCCTCCTGCACCCCCCATAGAGGAAGGTAAGGCAGGGTGGATTAACACGTTACAAGCGTTTCACTTTCACTAAAATTTAATTTGGTTACAATTTGTGTTTGTGCTAGGCCTGACAAATGGGAAGCACACTTCTGCAGACCAGGAAGAAGACGATGACTCAAACCTAACGTGAGTATAAGGTCACAGAAGCTATGGGCCTCATGCTCAAAGCGCACAAAGTGCAACATCATTCAAATCTAAAAAATACAGCCTTTTTACCAGGAGTAAAACAATGTCTTTTATGATAACCTCCCATTTAATATGTGAGACTATCTTACAGATGACGCTGTCAAACATATCTGCAGCATAACATGAAGTTGTCTTTCAACATTATCTGACTGAAACCTTTAGCACAAACACCCTTTTCATGTTGATACTGGGAGCATATGAAATCACACAAGCCCCTTAATGAACAGATCACTTGTTGATTTTAAGCCCCAAATTAAGACGTTTTGTAGTTATGAGTCTTTGTTATTGCATGAGTGTCTTGTCTTAAAATTTCATTGCAATAAAATTATCTCCACTTACACTAGTTGAAAAATTTGTTGCTTTTTTGTGTGTTTTTTCAACTTTAGCGTTCCCCCTCCTAAACGCAGCCGAGGTAAGCCAGCGTTGGCAAAGGTTCCGAGCAAAGAGAACGGAGACATCTCTGCATCTGGTGTGTTTCATCTCAAAGCAATGCTCATATTGGTGACACGTTTATTTTATTCACATCAAAAACAAGCATTTGTAAGAAAAACAATGGAATAAATTGGGCTCAGGTTTTGTTAGCAGTTGAGATTAATGGAATGTATTGAAATATCCTGTTCACAGGAAAGTCTACACTTCTGTCTTTAGATAGTGAAATGGAACTTTCACCACTGGACCTGGTTTGGGCAAAATGTAGAGGATACCCTTCCTACCCAGCAATGGTGAGAATCTGTTTGATCCCACAGTCCACAAGTTACATATTCCTTTAATAAAAGAAAGAAATAGTCACTGTATTTAATTGTTACAGATTGTTAATCCAAACATGCCTCAGGAAGGACTCCTTCACAACGGCATCCCCATCCCAGTGCCTCCCGTGGAGGTGCTCAAACTGGGTGAATGGAGGAAAACTGAGGAGGATGAAAAGCTCTTCTTAGTGCTGTTCTTTGACACCAAAAGAACATGGTAATATATATATATATATTTTTTTTTTATAAAACATCCAGTAAAACCTCTTATTGCAAGTAAAGTCCAACAAATCATCAGTTTGAAAATATATTTGTGTGTGTGTGTTTAAGGCAATGGCTCCCTCGAAACAAACTACTGCCGCTGGGGATAGACGACACTGTAGACAAACTGCGCCTGATGGAAGGAAAGAAACCCAGCGTTCGCAAGTCTGTACACACTGCTTATGACCGGGCAATAGTGCATTTAAACCACGTGAGAGGAAACCAGAACTTCACTCCCTCCAATTTTATATAAATTTTATTTTAAAGATCTTATCTTTAACAACCTGACTGTATAGAAACGTCTTTAATCCTTTTAAAAATGTGGGAAAGTGTAAAACATTTCCAAAAAGGTTGACTTTTTTTTTTTTCCTTCATAAACGTGAAGATTTTTAAAATGAAGAAAGAAATTAAGAAATTTTCATAGATTAATTTATTCATGCACAATTGTTTGAAAAGGGTTTTTACTCAGCCGTTGCTATATGTTCATAGAAGTTTTTATCTTTGGCCAAAGTGAGTTCAGGCTCGGTGGAGAGAAGTGTATTTGTTCATCTGTCAAAAGGGATCGTTATGATTCAGAATATATTCAGATTGTATTTGCTGTTAACATGTCACTGTGTGTAATGAAGTGTACGTCCCACTTTAACATTCATGTCCGACCCCCACCCCAAAAAGGAAGGACTCCTTCCTAAACATATATATACAGTAAAAAGCTGCCTAAAATTCAGTATTTTTGCTGTAATCCTAATATTGAAAGTATAAAATCAACCTTCTACTGCAGGTATTGACATTAAATTCAAATTTGGCCCCTACTAGAGCATCATTGGCGCTACACTAAAAAATAACCTTCTCTGATTATTTAGCAGATGGAGAGAAGTGTTGAACAAAAACCCAAATCATACATTTTATTTACATGGCTGCCACTAACATTTTTTTTTTTAAACCTTTTAGTTCAGCTAGGACATGGTGTTGGTGGGACTTTAACTGTGTTTGATGACTCTTTTTCCATATTGTGAAAGTGTTGGATGATCGTAGAATGCTGAAGTGGCCGGTGCAGTTCTCTGGTCAGGAAGATTTAAAGCCACTACAGAGAGGAAGCAGATAAACCTGCTGCCATAACTTACTGAAGGCCTTGAAAGTTATTTGAAAATCTGGCTCAAAAGGCTTGAAAAGCACAAACGCTCTGGTTAAAATATTAAAAAGGATAAATTAAACTTTTTGGATAGGCATTTCCCGGGGCCATATGTGTGGCATACCTACTGTGTATGTACAGCTGTATACAAGCTCAGTGTGGTACAAGTGCATGTGTATAGTTCTGTAAATATGTAAATGTATGTTTATATTTGCTTACATGAAGTAATTTAAGGAATGCAAAAATCAAATATAGATTTTAATTTATAAATTTGTTGCAGTAGAGGTGTTATTTAAAAAGTAAAATATTGAAAAGAAATATGTACGATCTAAGTAGCTCTTTGTAATAGTGATACTTGCCAACATGTTGGTGGAAAATATTCTGTAAAAGTGAGGTGGCACAAGACCTTTACTGTAGGCAGCTGTGTTTGCATTTGCCTACTTTTTGTTTTCTTGGTGGTACAGATTTTTGATCTTGTAATTTGAAATGGTTCTACAAGATCTACAGTCTGCCTGAGACGATATTTTCTCACACAAGAATAAATGCCGTTTGAAAAATCTGCTTGTGAGGTGTTTGGTAAGAAACTTGCAGCCGTTTCTGCCACTTTCTAAAACTGATTTCCTGAAGTGATGACGTTGCAACAGAATTACATCATAGGACACTCAACATGGCTAAAACGGATCAAACAATATGAACAAGTCAGAACAGACTAAACTTGTACAATCACAGTAACTAGTTTAAGACGGTTATATTTATTGATGCAATGATTTCTCTGATGTAGCCACTAATGCTTTGTGTGCCACTCCTGACTCCAGTATTAGTCTAATATTTACATGCATACCAGTATATTATCCCTGTTAGTAATAAAAACAGCATTTAGTATTACACAATTTAGAACAGCTGTAAATTTGTGCAACTGCAGTTTATTTTACTGTACAGACAAGCTGTTAGGACTGAAATAACAGAAAAATCTTCACGACAATGAGGCTGCTATTTATAGATCATTTAGAAAACTATCAGAAACAGTAAAATACCTGAACTCACCTCACTGAGGTGTGAGATGATCGATATAAACCTTTACATGAGCTCTGTTGCATCTTGTAGCTTAAAAGCCGATCAAACGACCGGTCACATTTGACTTTGTTCCACAAAAACTCAAACGGGAATGATAATTACGTGCGTTGACCAGAGTGACGTCTTATTTTCTGCAGAAAATGTGACATAAATAAAACTTGTAACCTAATTATTTCAACTGACAAAGAAGCTACACACAAGAAAAACCCCAATGCTTTCAAATTAATTTGCAGACAAACAATATTTTATAAATATTCAACCCCCCTCTGGCAGTTTGAGTTGTTATTCCAGTTTATGGTGATTCCAAATATACACTATTTGCATTCACTTAATTTTCCAGATGTGATCTGAGAAAATGTAATTTAGCTTTTTTCCCCCCATCATACTCATTTCCACAAGAAATAACTAATTTATAAATGTATATTTTAATGAACTGTCATCTGAGTGATACATTCACTGTCCAGGAGAGAAAAAAAACCTCTTTGCTTTAATAAAACAATATAAAAACAACTGAAGATCGTTTTAAATAGTTCTACCACAGCTCAACTTAAAATGCACTAGCGCTGCTTCACCCTGACTTTTTGTATGAAAGCAGTGACGCAACATGCTTTCATTTCTCCGTAGTGTAAAAATTAGTGTTTAAATCTAGTAGTCAGTTGGTCAAGCCTGATAAAGTCTCAGAAAACAGGTTGAAAAGTATCTGAACCAGTGTACAGATTCTTGTTGCATTGCAGCAGCTCAGAAAGTCCTATAAAAGAGATAAATAGCCATTATCTGTGGAGTCTTGCTGCTCAGATTTGCTGCTTTTTGAACTCTTGCTGGGGTTTGGAGTAGTTGAATACTTGGGTGGGTATCTGATGAAGAGACGATCCTCCTCTTTTTTTATCCATCTAAGCAGCTTAGTGATGGCAGTGATGGCACAGGTTTTTGTCACCAGAGGGCTGAAGCAGGTGTACAATTCAAATTTACTGGTCACCTAAAAGAAAACAACAAATTAACAATCTGCCTGGAACTGTATGTAGCATTTGTGCTCACAATGGCTCCAGACTGAGCTTCAGAGTGGGCCCTGCTTTCTAAACAAAAAGTGTTATATGGTCCACAGTGACACTGTAACTACAAACAAAGCTACATACCCAGGCTAGCAGAGTTTCCCTCTCAGCAACGTGGTAGATGAGCTTCAGGGGTCGTGAGGTGCTGTGAATACGGCTGTGCATATAGCGATAAAGATCCAAGAGTCGCATCTTCTCCTCCTCACTGCTGTATGGAGCCTCCATCTCTGGGCTACAGACACGTTACATACACAAAGAAATCATAAAGTGAATTAAACTTGTTCTTAATATGCAGACATACTGGGTAAATGTATTAATTTGTTTACATTTTTATGAGTTTGTATTTATATTTTGTTCACAAAATTATTTTAAGTATATCCAACCCGTCTACGCTTGAACAGGTTATTCACAAACACACACACCTGGTGAACTGAGTGAGCTGACGGTAGTTGTCTGGAACATCGAAGGGCTTGTACATGAAGTGCCTGAGGTCTGAGACGCCAACCTGGCTCACGCTGTACAACTGAGCTTTAGCAATGAGGCTCAGTGAGTTCTGAGCCACCATGGCCTCCTCGATCTTCCTCTTGCACTCAGCTACAGCGTAGAAAGCCTCCTTGTCAGTCGAGAGCAGCAGCAAACAGACCGTGCATTCTGGAGGGTCCAGGTAGGAAATGTACGCATAAAAGTAACAGTCTGGGTTAAACAGTGGGAGGCAGATTGGAGTCCAGATCTCCCCAGCCTGAAAGGCTGAGGAGGCTCCGATGAGGTTGAGTAGGAGGTGAACGTCTGCTGGTTCCAGCCTTGAGTCCTCAATGACGGTTTTCTCTTGGACGATGGTTAGCAGCTGGTTCTTGGCGATGAGTATGGAGAAAACCAGATTGGGCGTGATGGCTTTCTGTAAGGTCTGGCTGAGAGAGTCCCTGAGAGAGGAGGCTAGAGGCAAGCAATGCACTGCTGTGAGCAGGAAGCTCGGGTCCGAATCCACCAGGTTGAGAAGACCGTCCAGGATCTTTTCGGAGCCAGCCAGGAGTCTTCGCAGGTCATAGTTTTTCTTGTGTTCAAAGATGCGGGATATGCTGGCCTGGGTGAGCATACTGATAATCTGGTAATACACGTAAAGGAGCTCCTCACGCAGCTGCTGCTCAGACTGACGACTGCTGGAGACACACACCAACACCAGGGGCCCTTTCTGTAGGAACACCACAGTGTGCTCCTCTAGTGGATGGAAGACACAACATAAAGTTAAAAACATGAAGAAACTGTGAGTACCTACTGAGGGTTGGAGTATCTGACGTGTAAAGTGGGGAAAACAAATTCTAAGATTACAAAAAGTGCAGTGAGATTCAATGAACTTGTGCTTTTTCAAACCTGCTAGTCAAAACTTGTGTGTCTGATTATTTAATTACTTAGCATTTAATTGAAAGATGAACTTATCACCAAAGGCATAAAGTAAAAGACGAAACATTAAAATGAACCAAAAAAAGTTTAAAGACTTCAGGTTGTTTTAGTTTTTTTCAGACATGTAGTAAGGTTTGTTTCCAGCTTCAGGAAAAGCCAGAACTGGTGAATTTTACTTCTTTACTTCTCAAATTTTGTTTCCAACATGCAGCCATGTCATCCTCTAAGTAGCTGGTCAACAAACTTTACTCTTAAAAATAAAATATAAAACCAAAAAAAAACATAATTGTGTATATAAAACTCCAACATTACACTCCGAGTAACAATGTTAAACTAAAAATGGGCCATAATATAAAAACAATCTAAAACAAATGCTAAAGCTGATAAATGTTTTGTATTTTATAATCAAAAATGATCATTTGGTCATAATGAAGCAAGAACTGGGGCTTTTTTTTCAGAAGAACTTGTTAGCACTGGTATCAATGGTACAATCAGACTTATTCAGTAATATTGTCTGATTTTATTGTGTTCATGCACAGAAAATACTTTTTGTTTGTACATTATCACTGACATAAATATACAGTAGCAACAGCTCAGAATTAGTTTTGGCATGTGCTGTACGTGCACTGAAAACCTTGTTAGCTATGTATAATTTAAAAAGGTGCTGTGGCTGATGGGAAAAAAAAAAGCTAATCAAAAACTACGGTGTGCACAGAAACTGAAACCAATTAAAATATAAAAAATAAACACTTGATTTAATATCAGATTGGGACTTTCCTGTAAAATAAAACCAGCTTGGTGAAGTGAAACTTAATGCTGCAGACTATTTTGAATGAGTACAGACTAAATGCATGTAGTAAGTGTTACGACTGTCATTCAATGTGCCCACCTGAGTACACTGAGCGGATGACATTATCTCCACTTTGGACAAAAGACACCAGCGCCATCATTACTCCCATTGTGGATGAAAGAGCCTCTTCGCTGCCGTATCGGGAATAAATGGGCTTGCCAGCTTCACTCAGCACAAAAATGTGCTTCCTGTGCTGCCGCCAGCTGTCAGCTGTAACATCCTCATCACGGTGAGACTTGAATGACGGGGACTCTTCGATTCCAGCTTCCAACAAAGGAGATGATCTCCCCTTTACTCCTATACCTTGCTCCTCTAACTTGGCCTTGGCCAGCATTGCAACAACAAACTCTCCAGAGTCGCTCTGGTCAGTGTCAACAGGATCACTCTCTGTCCCTTCGGCAGCCGGATGGGTGGACACATCGTTCTGACACTCCGATGTTCTTGTCTCCTCTGTCGCTAACGCTGTTTCAAGATGGGGTCGAGGATCTTCATCCCAGCCTGGCTCCTCTGTTGTAACATCTGACAGGTTCAAATTAGTAGTTTGCATTTTGTTCACCGTAGGACAATCACTTTTCACCACTAGATCAGGAAGCAAGTGATTCCCCAGTAGAGCGTCCGCTAAAATAGAAGCAAAGCTAAATTATATAATGAAAAATGAAAAGTATAAATGGAGAGCATTTAATTTAACGAGATTATAAAATATATTCAAAAGTATCTGGATATCTAACGATTTACTAATTCAGGCATTTGCAAAAAATAATATCAACAAAAATATATAAAGTAAATGTGATGGTTAAGATTGAATATTTAGATATTCACAGCTACAAATAATTAAGGGTTTAGGAAATAAATAGCTTTGTTATAACTGTAATTATGTGTGCGTTCTGCTTTGTAATAATTTCTTGACAATTCGCAGATTGTTGAAGTCGATAATGAATAATTAATCCTTATAAAATATTTTGCATGAACTTTACTGTAGCTGCCATAACTTGTTTGTTTACGGGCTTTACGGGTTTTTATTTGTATTTAAGCAAACTGGATATATTAGATGGTATGTTGTTACATTTCAGGTTCTGGCTTACTTTTGCTGAGTTATTTAGATTTTTGTCCATCTGAACTTGAAGCTCAAGTTCTTTTTTATCTGTGATTTTAATATTTTTAACTAATGCACAAAATACTCTAAACTGAATGTATATATATATTTACCAGCTGGATTGCTCTCAGATGAATTATCAGAAATCTTAACTCCTTCTGTCTCTCCGTCTTGATGATTGTCTCCCTCCATGACATCACAGTCACTAAGCACAAAAAAGGGTTATAATAAATGCAAATTAACTGAAGACATGGGCACCTATTAAGTTTCTTGTGAATAGCGGCATTCATACAGTCGTACTGATCAAGTCACGTGTTAACAGAAGACAGTAACAGCTCCAAGACACTAAACAGAAACTAGAAATGAAATCTGATTACAGCTTCAAACAGCAGATCTAATGTTTCACACAAAAAGCGGATCGGTTGGACGGAGAGCCAAAGACGTTTTGTAAACCAATAACAAGTGTTAACAAGTCTCTGAAATTTCCTCAAAGAATACACAGTAAGCATGCCTGCTAACCTCAACACAGCTACTTTAAGTGCTCATTTTAAGGTGACAAATGTGAGACAGTGAATTTTAACACAACACAGCAAATGTTGACTGTTGGTAAACACGGCTAACGCTCCCTGCTAGCATCAAGCGAAACAGATACATTATCATGGTCTCGGCTTAACAGAGGACGCAGCCGGAGTCTTCGACAATTAAAAAGGACAAAGAACAAAACTTACGGCGATGTAATGTCAAAACTCTGTCTTTGATACCTAATTTGAGTCTTTGTCTTTTCCCTGTAGTACAGCGGCAGGTGAGCTGTCAAGAATGAGAGGCAGAAAACAAGTTTTTTTTTTTTTTTTGCAACAGCCGACTTCCGGAATAGCTGACGACAAAGTAAAGATGGCCAATCAGAACGCAAGTTGGCGTTTGGTAGTCCCGCCCCCTAAACAAAGGTTTCTTCAAAATAAAATAAAACAACTTCTGTACAGAAAGAAACATTAGATCTGATGTTGTTTATTTTACTTTATTTGTATAATAGTGTTCTTTTACTCGTATTTACATGATTTCAAACTACATACACCCCCCCACACACACACACTTTATATTTTTGCTCATTTTGGATGTAACTGAGACCTTGAAAACATAATTTCGTTTCACCTCATGTACCACATGTGATGCGAATGATAAAGGAATTCTGTGAGTTCTTCTTGCTAAGATCAATCTTAAGTCTTAAAGCTTAAGTCAATCTTCAGTAAACCACACCTTTTCATTTTCACAGTTTTCAGTTTGTGAGGTTAATAAATTGTTAAAAGGTCTAGACTCTAAAAAATCTGACTGCAGGCCCTAATGAACTTCTACCATATTTCTTAATGCTGGCTGCTCATATCATTGCATTTCCGGTGGTGACCCACATCTTTAACCTGTCCATAAGCCCAAACTCCATTCCAGACACTTGGAAAACAGCAATTTGTTCTACCTTTAATGAAGGGAGGTGACCCTACCTCACTGAACAACTATCGACCAATCTCTAAACTCTTCCTTTTAGTCAAGGTTCTAGAAAAACTGAAAAAACTCTCAAGTCAAAACATATTGGACTCATTTAACATCTTACCTCCCTATCAATCTTGTTTCAGGAAACACCATGAGTGCATCGCTGAAGTCATGACTTTTTTAGATTTTTCTACCTGGATGATTGAGCATGCATCAGGATGCATCGCTGAAGGTTTTTAATGACGTTGTTGAAGCATTGGATGCTAAGGATTTCTGTGTTGCACTTTACTGAGACCTGTCTAAAGCTTTTGACACTGTGAACCATGATGTCATAAGCTCTCAGAAATTGTTTTTTCAGCTCACACCATTAATTGGTTCACTAACTATCTCTCAGACCGGAGGCAATGTGTTAACATATTGGTACTTTCTCCAGTTATTTAACAGTCAACAATGGTACCACAAGGCTCAGTCTTAGGACTCACCCTCTTTACAATGTACAAAGTACATATAGGTAATGTAGGTGGTCTCTTTTGTAAATTAGTCCCTGTGGCTCAATGGGCTTAACCTGTATAAATAAAGGTTGAATGAATAAAAGAAGAACCTGTTCCTATGGACATTGAGTAACTTGCAGAGTTAAGATCTGAAAGGAGATGCAGTGATGCACATGAGATGATCACCACATCATCATGTATCAGGATGTCCTGGCTTTAAAAACCTATGAAGTGTAGGTAAAAGCTTTAATTTATTGGGGAAAATTAGATTTAATTTTGACCGAGCTAATGTTTAGTCAGAGGGAGGACAATGATATTAGGGATTGCTGCCATCTTAAAAAATTTTAATCAATAAATACAATAAGAAATTCATGCAAGCTCTATTTTAGAAAGCTTTACATTGTTAGCAGTTTTGCAGTACACATTAAATCCAGCAGAAAATGTATATTCCTTCTGGAAGTGCTACAGCATGCTGCTGCTGAAGTATTCTGTGTAAATATTCATATAATCAGATGGCCGCTTGTCCTGAGCCTGGTTCTGCTAAAGGTTTCTTCCTCATGAGGGAGTTTTTCCTTTCCACTGTCACCTTCATGCTTGCTCAAGATGAGAGTTCTAGGATGGAGTTAAATTCAAAGCAGTCTGCTCCTCAGTTAAATAGTGTTAACTTGTTTTTTTATATATATGAATGTTTCTGTTCAGTGCCCTGAGATGACTTCAGATGTGACTTGGCGCTAGACTGAGACCACCGAGGTGCTCCACAGAGCGCCACAGGAAGTCCTTTCTCCCTGTGGCTATCAAACTTTTCAACTCCTCCCCCTTTCTGCACATAGGACAATAAAACTAATCCTGCACCACAATAAACACTTTAATGTTTTCACATTAAAACATTAACACTTTTCACACATTAGACATTTCATACATGTCTGCACCTGAGCTGCTTAGAACTTAATTGCTGGTATTTTTATATTCTCTGTTATTTTATTTTTATGTCTTGTGTATGTTCTTTGTACTGAAACTCTGGCGCAACAATTTCCTGTAGGATCAATAAAGTTCTATCTTATCTGACTGAAAAATGTTGGATTGTAATCCTGGATTATTGAGCATGGACTTTGTTGTTTTCAACCAGTTTGACACGACTGTCAACAAGGAAGAGGGCCTGCAATGAATGAGGGGGCGTGCCAAAGAGACCATCTTAGCACCAACAAAACTGGTTTGTTCCACTTTGGAGTAAACTGTTGGGGGAATAATCAGTTTTGTTGTGTGTTTCCTTGACTGATGAAGCCTTCCGGATTGAAGGCGAAACGTTTCAGCACAAAAAAAGAAACTATCCAGATGACCTGACTGAAAAATGTTGGATATCTTATCTTATCTTAAATAATCTGAATTGAATTGAAATAATAAAGATACTTGAACTTGAAAGAGCAACATTCTTGGTGGGCCCTCATAAACAAGGATCACTGTCCTCCTTCTTGGTCCTTATGGACCCTCAGCAAACATGAGGGCCCATGTTATTCTTAATGTGGACACCACTTTTTAATGTTTTTTTTTTTTTACTTTCTGGGGATATGCCTCAAGTACTTTTAAATACTGGTTGTATGTGGTCCAGATTTCTGAGGCATATAAAAAAGTGAACAGCACTGCTGCAATGTAGACCAGGATTTTAGTCGTTGTCAGGAGGTTGCAGTCCTCACAGTCTTTTTTCTTTAGCTTTGAGAAAGCCCTGCACAGCTGAGAAGGAAATACATTTTCTCATCAGTGCCAGCGTTGAGTGATAGTGCATGCCAAGATATGGAAAGTGGTTGACGTTTTCCAAGAGGGTGAAGTCCTTTGGATGAAGGATGAAACTTTTCAAGCAAAAATAAACCGTCCAGATGACCTGACTGTACTTTGTTGATTTCCAACATGGCGTTATTGGTTGAGATTCTTGAGGGCAGGAAAGGAGCACTGCTGTTTAGTGGTGGTGATTGATGATTTGGGTCTTGTTCATATTAATGGCAAAGATTTTTGATTGCCTTTGCAGAGGCAAACAGAATCATTAAGGCATTTTCATCTGAATACTACAGCTCCATACCGAATATTGGTGTGGTACAACCTTTAGCCTGAAAATGGTTTATATTGATGAGTTGACCTGTACATAATTTCGAGTCCCCTAAAAAAGGAGGAGGAGGATGACTGCAATGAAGATGTTTTTATTTATTTAACCTTTATTTATACAGGTAGTCTCATTGAGTCACAAGGACTTATTTTCAAGAGAGACCTGTTTGGAAGTAGATGGTGGGGGTTAAGGAACTTGCTCAAGGGCCCAGAGCAGGGCAAATGAGGGTGGAGCCAGGTGTGGACGTTTCACCTTTCCCCCCACATTTTGATGTTGTCGGTCCGGGGAGTCGAATCGGCGACCTTCCGATCACAGGCCCACCTTCTCTAACCTCTGCGCCACCACTACCCGAAAATGAGAACAATGTTGGAGCTGTGAATCCTGTGTCAACACTGAAGGGTGCAGTAGCATCTCCACTGCCACTGAGTACAGTGGCTGACATGTCACAATGTAGCAGGCTCAGTATGCAAATGTACTTTTGTGGGCAGCCAGCCTTTGCCAAAAGAAGCCAGAGGGTCTGATGGTTCATTGAATTAAAGGCTTTGGTGAGGTCAATGAAGGCCATATATAATGGTGTTTCCTTTCCAGGTTGCAATTCTATGAAAAGGCCATAGAAACAAGCAAAAACAATCATTCACATTCTCACAATTTAGAGTTTACACAAAAATATAAATAACAAATTGAAAAAAATCCATAGAAACCCTTTATTAAGAAAAAGAAAAAAATTAACAAGAGGATAATATTGTGCCAAAGATTGAAGAACACATATAGAATAAATAACTTCAAATTATTTTGTTTTCTCAAGTGAATCCACAAGGCATTCTAGCATTCTCATAAATATATTAATAAAAGTATAAACACAATAAAACAAAAGAAAGCTTGAAAGTTGATAAGAGTTTTATTAGATTTATTTTTTATTTAAAGACCATCTACTAAGGCAAATAATAAATTAATGATATATTATAGTTTTTTTTATAAACATATGTAGAAGTAAACAAATCAAAATAATTATATTTATTTTATATAATTACGGGTAGCACAGTGGCGCAACTGGTAGAGCAGCTGTCTCTCAGCGAGCTACCTGGTTCAAATCCCGGTCCAGGGACCTTTGTGAGTGGAGTTTGCATGTTCTCTTTGTGTATGTATGAGCTTTCTCCGGGTACTCTGGTTTCCTCCCACAGACCAAAATGTGAATGTTAGGCTGATGGGTAACTTTAAAACTGTCTCTAGGTGTGAATGAATGAATGGTTGTTTGTCTCGTTTGTCTCTATGTGGCCCTGTGATGGACTTGCGACCTGTCCAGGGTGTCCCCCGTCCCTCGCACAGTGATTGCTGGACATGGGCACCGACGACCCCCGTTGCCCAAAATGGAAGAAGCGGGTAAAAAGATAATGGATGGATGGATAATATAATTACAATGCACATCACAATAACACAGGCAAAACAATTTAACAAAGTGTAAACTGAAAAATACAAAACAAGGTAAAAAAAAAAACATTTGCAACACAAAAAAATAAAGCAAAATACTCAGAAAAGACAATAATGCTGAAAAAGAATTTTTAGGCAATTAAAAAAAAAATTCAAAAGCTAAATCGTTTTTACCAACTTCAAAGATGTACAAAATACAATATTTTATATTTGACAAACGATTGAACGCTGCACTTCAGGTCTCTCTTGTAAATGAGACCCCAGAGCTCAATGGCAGCACGATGGATCAGCGGTTAGCACTGTTGCCTCACAGCAAGAAGGTCGTGGGTTCAATCCCTGGTTGGACCTGGGGTCTTTCTGTGTAGAGTTTGCATGTTCTTCTCGTGCTTGCTCCGGGTACTCCGGTTTCTTCCCACAGAACAAAAACACGCAGGTCCAGGGTCACCATCAGGTCCAGGCCTCCCTTGCAAAAGAGATCTGTGATCTCAATGGGATTTGCCTAGCTAAATAAAGGTTAATAATAATTTTAAAAAAATGGGATTAACCTGTATAAATAAAGTCCAAAAAAGTTCAATCTGGCCCTCTGGACATTCAAAAAAACAAAACAAAGCAAAAAAAAATGAAATGTACATTTCTACTTTTTTTTTTTTTTGCTTTGTTTTTAGTTTTTTTGAATGTCCAGAGGACCAGATTGAATTTTTTGGGGATTTTTCTACCTGGATTATTGAGCATGCATCAGGATATGTATAAATAAAGGTTGAATGAAAAACAACTGCACATTGCGCATGCGTACAAACGGCTACGTCCTTACGTCATTTCCGATTCCGAATTCTCGTTCGCAGGTTACAGTGATGTTCAGCTCAACAGATATGCCATGACAAGCCGAAAAAATAAAAATTGATGGTCTATAAATGACTCAGAAGACACACAGCTGACTCAGTTCGTTTGATTTTAACCCACACCATGGAGGAACCGTGGGATTTGGAGTTTTTGTCTCGCATTGCTGACAGCTGCTTATCGTTCCTGTACGAGTTTGTGGACGATTGGCTCGCAAACGACATGAGGGTCTCTATATTCAAAATCTTACTCAGCTGGTTAATTTTTAGTCTTATCGCAATTCATTTTGCCTGGAAATTCTACGGGAATACGGTTAACGACATGTATTACCGACAAGGTGGGTCTTCTTGTTCCTGTCAGGGACGCATTGCTCGGTAAAATAATGCTAACCCTGTTAGCTTCATCTTTGTTTACGTTTAGGGACTGGGCAGAACGGAGGCACACCTGATGCAGCTCCTCACCTGAGTGGCTGGTAGGTGTTAAGTTGATGTTGCTCCGCTTATTGTTTACCCATAGTACTTTAGTTACTGTATTTAATGTTTTGCCTTTTTTTTCCTAGGGAGAATAAATCAGGAGAAAATCCGAAGAGCCATCGGGATTAAACAGACACTTGACATTTGGACCAGAGATAAAAAGACACTGAATGGACATTTGTATGACTGACAATGAACTCTTCGTGTTATTTAAGAAGGTATGAAGATGGGTGGTCTTCTGCCAGTTTCTCATAGAAATATTGAGGCTTTTCCTGCACATCAGCAGTATCACTGTGTCCTTGAGATACTTATTCTGGCCTGTTGACACTGGATTCAAAAGTAAAAAAAATTTTCCTCTATGCGAAATACAAAAAAATAACGTACTTAATAGACTTCTTTTTAATGTATGCCAGTGGCATTAATGTAAAAGATCGGCATGGATTTGCTTATGAATTGGCTGTAATTCAGGTAGTAGATACATGCATAAACAAGAAAACAGCTACAGAAATAAATGTACAACACAAGACAACAATTATTAAACCATATTTTTAGGGTAAGGAAACACATCTTGTAAGAGTGAATAGCATTGAATGAATGATGTAAATAAAAAATTAAAAAAAAACCTGCTGTTAATGTAGGACTCAATTTGCTGCAGTGAAAAAAATCATTTTTATTTTGATTTCATAAAGTGAAAAGAACGACAGGGAAGAGAGAAATGCCAGTTACACACATTGTCTTTTAATTCATTATTAAACATATCTGTCTTATAGAAGAAGCATAATTTCAATGGGAAACAGTGCTCAACAGATTCATCCTCGTGTACTTTATGTAGCTTAAAAATGTTTCCTGTGCAAAGTGTAAACAAACATAGCAACCATATTTACTGTTTTCCTATGGCATATGTGGAGTCCACGATTCAAAGGGCATAACACTACATTCATCAAAATCTTGGTAAACATGATAGCGCTACTAAGATGTTTGCAATTTTAGGTAAGACTGAAATAATTAAGATTTTTCTACATGTTCAGTGGGATTCACCTGGCAATAGAAAATATCCGATACATCCGAGTTTTACCATAATTAACAAAATCCCACCAAGCCTGCTATGAACAGTGATAATAAAAGGATGCCCCAAATGCAAAAAGCTCTAAAGTAGATATTTCCCAGCTCTGCCAGTTCATCAACAGCTAATAAACCTAACAAAATCATTGTACCTTTAGTTTAACTCTTACACACTTCAGTGTAGAGCAGTCTAATACAACTGTTCAAACTTTATTGAAAATATGTGATGTATACAATGCTTAAAAACACTTAATGTGTTTAACAATTTAGGGGCATGTTCAGTTTACATTAGAATGTTTATGCTACATACAATGGTGAGATTTTTGTTTTAAGTCTACATTTAACGGTTGTTAGAATTAAAAATAGGCAATTGTTAATGTGTAATTAATGTAGACTTCGAATTCAGGTCAAAATGTTTAAGGTGAAGAAACTGGTTAGATTATCCAAAATGTTGGCAGATTTATTTTAAAATCCAGATCCATTTATATTTTTATATCTTGTGTTTTCAAATTAGCTTATTGTTATAAGAATGGATGGAATTAGTAACATGTGTACATCCATGACATTCGTGCAGGTTAGACCAGGAACAAGCAAGTGTTTTCCAGCTGAGAGATGAGAAAAAAAAGTGAAAGAATCATTGTTACTGAGGACGTTCTCAAGATCCAGCCCTTGTGTCCGGGCTTCATCATACAGCCCTCCATCAGTGATGGCCCCTGCTGCCTCAGTTGGACCATCCTGACCGTCGGTGCCACCACTCAGAAACAAGGGGCCCTTAGGTGGGAGCTCCAGGCCTTTCAGCTCCAGTCCCACTCGCAGAGCCAGCTCCTGGTTTCGACCACCTCGACCTTTGCCTGTCAGCTCCACAGTGGGCTCCCCTCCAGCTAACAGACACGTGGCCCCCCATCCCTCTTTACGCCCCTCATCCAACACCTGCATGGTACGACACAGATCCCAGGTCTCCATCCCTACGTCAGGTCCGAGCTTGAGCATCTCAGCTGCAAGCTCTGGAGGAGGTTCCTCTCGAGAACTGGCAAAACGAACCAGAAGACCATAAAGTTTGGAGACGGACCTCACGTCGCCGCACACTCCTGGTGAAAGCACAACAGGGCGGAAACCCAGCTCTCGAGCACGGCGACTCGCATACTTGAGGGCAACGGTGTTGGAGCCAATGACAACATTAAGAAGATCTGGTGCATCTGATTCATCTCTAATGTCTTTCCACCTGGGATTCTCTCTCACGAGGACATCCTTCACTGAAGTTGGCAGGGAATCCAGCAACCTGTAATGTTCAAGAATGGACAAGACTTCTTTGGGACACACCTCACTTCTCACTGTGGGGCCACTAGCTATCAAGTCAAGCGGGTCCCCGATTACATCTGACAGTATAAGGGCAACAACCTGTGAAAAAGTGAAGGTAAGAAAATGTCTTCCATTTAATTAATAGCTGTTTTAAAAGTAAGACTTGTTACCTGTGCAGGATAAGCAAGGTGTGCAAGCCCTCCACCCTTTAACAAAGAAAGGGATCGACGCACTTTGTTCAGCTCTTGAATAGTGGCACCAGCAGCTGAAAGTCTGCGGGTAACATCGAATTTCTCTTGCAATGAGATTGGAGGTATTGGTGCTGGTAATAAAGCAGAGCCACCACCTAGAAGTTGAACCAGGTGTTAAAAGATTACATTACTGTATCTGATGCTCAGGAGGAAAAAGTGAAAGTCATACCTGAAATGAGAACGAGCAGCAAATCGTTTTCTGTCAGCTCACTGGCTAACTGCTTGATGCCTTCAGCTGCTCTCTGAGCATCATCGTCAGGTAAGTTATGCTTAGCCCCTTCCATTACTTTGATTCGACTGTTTTCTTTCAGCAACAGGTGGCTAGAATACAAGTAAAAAAAAACCTGACTTATTCTTAGACATATCGTTTGGGTAAGATTTTGCGTCACATCTGTGATTTTATTTTATTTTTTGGTACCTTTTTCCGTGCTGTTGTAATGTCTTCTGTATCCCATGTGGGACACTTATGATTCCTCTCACTAAATGATCACCCATAATCCTCTCTACCTCAGCAGCCATGCCCAGGACAGCCTTCCCGAAGCCCACTAAGTGCAGGTTGTGTTTGAGCATGAATCTTTGACCGTCAATAGTGATTGAATCCTCGTTGCGCTCTACACTCTGCCTGACCACAGTGTCTGGCTGCACAGCTTCCACTGCAGCTGCAAAGACTTCCCGTGCTCGTGAGTCCATTGACATTTTGCAGAACGCAGGCTTCCACCTGCCCACAAGGGCAAGAGTAGGCTGAGGCCGGAACAGGGAAAGGACACGGGCCATTGACAGATCAACGTGTCTGAAGAGTTTAAAAGTTAGGACAAAGAATGACAGTAACTTATGTTTATGTATAAACTGTAAAGGCAAATTTGCACATATGATGTATGGAAGTTTCACACCAGCCTTCTAGCTTACTGCTTTGCTTTTAAAAGTTTAAAATAAAAGAAACTTTTACCTACTTTTATTTGTGTATATCAAATCCTTATTTGTATATTTTTATAGTTTTAGTCAACTAAAGTGCTTTCTATTTGTGCTTTTTGATGTTTAATTAAACTGCCTACCTGTGTGGGCTGTCAAAGCTGTTTAAAGCCTGCAGATTCCTGTAGAAGCAGGATCTGTGTTCTAGCTTCACAGTGAAACAAAAATTTGACCAGACATTGACTGGTAGAGTTTACACTGTGTTTAATGATTAACTTCAAAGATCCACTGGCCATGAGCTTTTCACTCACTTGTGCATAAATCTTTTTCTGCTATACATTAAATTAAAAGAAATTGAGTTTAGGGATTTTAAGTGTGGGTGAAGCCATAGTGAGTTAAATTAACAGTCTGACAAAGAGCTGGTACATTTTGTTTTAAAATTGTAAAGTTAAAGATCGTATTTGATACAAACTGTTCTGTAGACTGATGTGCCATTTCTGTTTGGTTTGCCTTTTTGAAAAGTAATACAACTATTATGAGACTTTTTATTCAAGCATAGCGTGAAATATTTTAGAATACTATAAAGAAAAAAAATGTGATTGCCGTCCTAGAAAGAAAACTGGGGTGTATTTTACTTTTCTTGTTCATGGTACAAAATAAAATAGGTCTGCATTGATTTAATATTTTAGGCATGCTTCAAAATATGATTTTTGCTTAAGTAGTAGTAGTTTTATTATGTTGTTGCAATGACAACAGCTAAATTGTAACTTTTAGTATAGGAATGTTAATTTAGTGCTACTATGGTAATAATATTTGATCTGTATTCATCTAATAGACTAATGGCATGCATAAAGAAGACAAGACTTCCAAACAAAACATGTTCTTACCTCAGATTTTTCGTTTGTGGGGTCAAAAGTCCTGAAACTTTCTTCCCGACTTCGCGTGTTAAATAAAAGCTTAGCTAAAAAAAGGCGGAGTCTTCAATGTAAAGAAATACCGAAGGGTAAGCATGCGAGATATATATTTTTCTTAAGAAAAGTAATCATAGTATTATTCTTGAAAACATGTTTATTGTTTTTCTGGTGTCATCGAACTCTCGCGATAAGTGTCTCATCACGTGGTTCTTCGTTGCGCGTGACCGGTGACGGCATGCGCGTCACCGACGTGGCGAAGTAGGTGGTGATTTTTCTTCCATGTTCCGTTGACCAAATTGCTACAGGCGGGATTTGGTTTCACGTTTTTCTTTTTTTAAACACTAATTTTTAAATATTTTTAGTAAAACTGCTGCGCATTTATCTATGAAATACCATAAGTGGGACTTCCAAGTTGATAAGTAAAACAAACGGGAGGGCGTTTTTCCCCCTCACACAAGCAGGCCACCATGAAGCTAACGGACAATGTGCTACGGAGCTTCAGGGTCGCTAAGGTGTTTCGAGAGAACTCGGACAAAATTAACTGCTTCGATTTCAGTTCGAACGGAGAAACCATTATTTCCAGCAGCGACGACGACTCTATAGTTTTGTACGACTGCCAGGAGGGAAAGTAAGAACGGTTTCTGATTAGTTTACACTTTACGTTTTGACGGTTAGCTTCGTGCTAAGCTAGCTGCCGAGGCCTGTCGCACTGCGCTATGCAGCGAAAAAAAAAAATCAGTGTGCCTAATATTTGAAATTTGCCCTTTTAATATTCTTGTAGTTTGTTGGTATTTCAAATTATGGGTCAGTACATAAAATCACGTAACAAAAAGATTGAATATTTTTCTAGAAAAAGTTGTTGAAAATGAGAAGCATTGAATGGGATTTTCACTGGTAGTCAACGAACTCAGGTTCAGGCTAACATTTTGTGGGTAAATTGTCACTCACAATAAATAAAAAATAGTTTGCACATTTTAGCAATATATTGTGGTTAGTTCGCAAAGGAACGTGTTTGTCCACTGATATATAATTAATGTGATAACATCTATCCACTTTAACATCCTGATGCATGCTCAATAATCCAGGTAGAAAAATCCAAAAAAGTTCAATCTGGTCCTCTGGACATTCAAAAAAACAAAACAAAGCAAAAAAATCTAGAAACGTTTCGTCTCTCATCCAAGAGACTTCCTCAGTCTGAGGTGCTGTTTTCAGCTCAGTCTCTTAAATAGCACCTTCACAGAGTGGATCAACCAGTTTTGCTGCTGACAACCAAAACCAGCTGATCACATGCTCAAGAAGGACCATCAGCCTAACAATGGGTCATTAGCACACTGATGGCTGTTTACTACTCGCAGAGGGCTGAGTGATACTAGCAATCACAGCATTGTAAGAGGGGGACAGTTGAACCCGGAGGCCTCCACCCCTGTTTAATGATGGACAATTTCTTTTCACAAAGATGGCCTCCTTTACTCCTCTCTCAAACCATCGTTCCTCTCGGTCCAGGATGTGCACATCTTCATCCCTGAAAGAGTGACCGCTGGCCTGGAGATGAGTGTAGACTGCAGAATCCTGGCCTGATGGCCAACATCATCAAGCCAGGACTGATGGTCCTTCTTGAGCATGTGATCAGCTGGTTTTGGTTGTCAGCAGCAAACTGGTTGATCCACTCTGAGAAGGTGCTATTTAAGAGACTGAGCTGAAAACAGCACCTCAGACTGAGGAAGTCTCTTGGATGAGAGACGAAACGTTTCTAGATTTTTTTGCTTTGTTTTGTTTTTTGTTTTTTTGAATGTCCAGAGGACCAGATTGAACTTTTTTTGGATATCCACTTTAACATTCATGGTTTATCATGACTTCCAAGATGATCTCTAGATTTTAAGTGAATTGATAAGCTGAGCATCTTTGTGTAGCTGTTGCAGTTAAAAGCAATCTAATATCTCAAAAGGGATTATATGTACATTTATCACAGTTTTTTGCCCTATTTTTTATGTCAGACCTAAGAGGACTCTCTACAGTAAGAAGTATGGAGTAGATTTGATCAGATACACACATGCTGCCAACACTGTGGTTTACAGTTCCAACAAAATTGATGGTAAGTACAAGTAAAGTTTAATTATTTTCAGTCAATTTTTTTGTGACATTTTATTTTAAGAGTTTGAGACATGATTATGTTCTACCAGATGTAGTTTTCAGCACCTTAAGCGTGTGTTGCTCTTGGCTGAGTTGCTGGAGACAAGATGTACACCTGAGGACGGCGTCGTCACATTGCTCACTGTTGTCTGAGGTAGTTGTTTGTACAGTTTGAGGGTCTGTGATTCTGCCCCATACAGGAGCTAACTGTACAAGTGACTGCCTTGCCCACGGTTGAGTCTACTCATCAGGTGTTTGTGAACAGCTCAACATGTTGATGCAGGCTTTTTTATCATTACTGCTGTCAGTTGGGTTCATTTCCTGCTGCAGGTCGTGTGTGTATGACGTTTGTTTAATGGTGCCTCTATTTTTCCTCAAAGACACCATCAGGTACCTGTCTCTTCATGATAACAAATACATCCGGTACTTTCCCGGACACAACAAAAGGTGAAGGTTGAAATATTTTCTCCATCTGTGAACTGTGTTTTGATTGAGTCATGTTTATAGTTGCTTCGTTCTAATGTGTGCTTGTGTTTATCATGAGCAGAGTGACATCTCTGTCCATGTCTCCTGTGGATGACACATTTATTTCTGGCTCATTAGATAAAACCATCAGACTGTGGGATCTGCGGTCACCTAACTGTCAGGTGAGTGTTTATTTTTAACCTGCTTATCAGAAATAATACTATAAATTGTGTACAGTGACAATAAAAGCTTCTTTGTTTTTATTTTGGTGAGCTGTCTTTAGCCACAATGTGTACTTTAGTTGTGTAATTACAAAACACATGATACGGATTTTCCTGCCATGTGTCAATTCTAGGGTTTGATGCATCTACAAGGGAAGCCGGTGTGCTCTTTTGATCCAGAGGGTCTCATTTTTGCTGCTGGAATAAACTCAGAGATGGTTAAACTGTATGATCTGCGATCGTTTGACAAGGTATGATAAAATCTGTTTGTATGTTGTAATAACTGGGATGCTTATTGGGCATATTTCAATGAATACAAACAACTAATTTGACCCTTCTCATCAACAGGGTCCCTTTGCAACTTTCAAACTTCAGTATGATCGGACCTGTGAGTGGACGGGTCTCAAGTTTAGCAATGATGGAAAACTTATTCTTCTTTCAACGAATGGTGGAGCCCTTCGCATCTTAGATGCTTTCAAGGGTGCTGTTTTACATTCCTTCGGGGTAAGAGGCAAGATGTCATTTCAGACAAATTGTGAGAGGAAGAATTTTGTTGAAATTAAGAAGTTTTATTAATACTTGCTTACTTTAGAAAAAAGTTAGGATTCATGTCTAAAGTCTCAGGTTTGTTACATTTGAAGGAATTATTGATGCTCATTTTTGCTGTTTTTATTTATCCACAGGGCTACAACAACAGTAAAGCTGTGATACTTGAGGCTTCATTCACTCCAGATTCTCAGTTTGTGATGATTGGTGAGTTTAAATTAGCATCTAAATATTATTAGTGCTAGAAATGAAGAACGACAAATGAACTGGCTGATATCCTGATGCATGCTCAATAATCCAGGTAGAAAAATCCAAAAAACTTTTTTGGAACTGGCTGATACTTGCTCAAGATGAGAGTTCTACGATGGAGTTAAATTCAAAGCAGTCTGCTCCTCAGATGAATGGTGTTAAATTATTTATATATATTTATTAATGTTTCTGTTCAATGCCCCGAGATGACTTCTATTGTGACTTAGTGCTATATAAATAAACAGAATTGAATTGAATTGACTTGGTGCTATAAATAAACTGAACTGAAAATACTGACCACTTTTACAAAATCTGGAGTCGGCCATTTTTGTACAGACTTAATCAACTGAAATAGAAAATGAAACTGCAGAAGCAGCTGCTACAACTAGCTCACTGCAACACACAATGTAGTGTTTTTTTTAAGTGAGAATGCTTTTCCATAAGTTATTTTTAAATGCACAAGTTTTTTGTGTTGTTAAATTTGTGTTTATGTAAACAATTGTTATATTTTGTTGAAAGAAAAATAGTTACTGACTAAAATAAATTTTAAAAAAGGTGTTTTATATTAGTCATTGGCTTCCCCAGCTTTTTATGATTAACATCAGCCATAGAAAAACCCACATCTGTCATCCTTTAATGGAATTTACTTTTCTTACCAGTTTAAACTTTATCTTTAATCAACAATGATCTACATTCAGCTAGAAAATGTGTTTGGCTTGGTTTGCTCAAACAGTACAAGATCTGACTTTGTATTTGTTTATGCAAACACAATAAAACATAATCAATAAATTAGAACAGGGATCTCTTTTCTTGAAGAGACCTGGCCATGGTTTGATGTTTTTAATGGACTTTTTCCTGCTCAGTTGGACCAATATTAAAACTATTCATGCTTTTAGCTAACCTCCTTTTTTAAATTAATGCTTAGTAATTGCATCTTAATGCAGTGAATTATAAATGATTACTTTTTTTTTTTTTGACCAAAGTCAAAGAGGAGATGTATGGATGCAGTTAGAGGACATGGAGTGAGGACCAACAATCAGATAAATCCTTTCAGAGTTACTGAGCAAAGCTCTATAAAGACACACAGTTGTGTTCACTGGTTAAATCGAGTATATTTACTGGTAGTTGAGGTGAAACCAAGTCCTAAAATATAAATTGACCCGTTATCTGATTCTGTAACAAGACATTGTTTCAAATGCTCATTTTTAGGTTCTGAGGATGGAAAGATCCATGTGTGGAACGCAGAAAGTGGCATGAAGGTGGCGCTTTTAGACGGTAAACACACGGGCCCAATCACCTGTCTGCAGTTCAACCCCAAGTTCATGACGTTCGCCAGCGCCTGCTCCAACATGGTGAGTGTGAAACCACGACGCTCAGAACTAAATTACACCTGAAGGTATTTATATTCAGAAATCTATTAACCCAAGCTGTATTCAGTAAATACACTGAGATGGGTGCCATGTTTTAAATATAAAAATGTAAAGATAAAATTAAACAAACCTGAATATGAAACATGGAAAATGGATAAAAATTAGTGATGAATAAAGAGTTCACTTTAAAGTATGTGGGAAGGATGTTGCTTTATAATTTTCTTTATCACTCATGTAGATTTAAGTCTTACCAACAAGCCTGTTATGACTAAAGTGACTTTATAGTTGAATATGTTAATTTTTTCAGGCGTTCTGGCTCCCCACCATCGATGACTGAGGATAACGTGAAGCTTCTGTTGGAGACCAGCGAGGCTCAGCTGGGTGTGGCCATCACCACCAGTCTGCAAAGTCGTATTTCTGTTGTAAATAATGGGTTGTAGGAATGGATCACTTGTTTATAATTTTTCATTTATATTTGTATTTAACATTAAAATGTTTTTCTTTGTAAAGATGTGGGTTTGAACATTGTCATTGTGTTTTAACAGTTTGTTTTATAGGTCGTTTTTGGGCCGATAAGCACACCTTGGGATTTATTTATTTCATTTATTGAAGTCAGGAAATATACACACACACACATATATATATATATATATATATATATATATATATATATTAGTGAGCTGCTGAGGAGGCTCGTTTAGATCTTCATGCACAGTTAATTATGAGTTGTTTGGTAGCATGTAGGAACACGAATATTTATTTTTAAAAATATTTGTACAGACCTGGAGAAATTGGGTCTGTTTTTGTGCGAGTGTGTTTGTCCAAACGTCTTCACCTAAAGCTGAACTTGCTTTTAGTCCAGCTGAGAGGAAGATTGGCTCATCTGATTGAGTAAAATGTCTTCAGCACAGTCAGGTGTTTTATGACGGTGAAAACATCTTACTCAATCTGTTGATCGTCAAGAGGTGTCTCACGTGGATGAAGAGTACGTTACGCTTCCTGTCGTTCATATTCAGATGTAAATAAATCAACACCTGCCATTTTAATCCGTATTTAAAACCAAGAACGTCATCATATGGTGCTGGAAGCTGGTCTGAAACATGTAGAAGCCTCCAGCAGTGTGTTCTTACCTTTGGGACAAGTTGGTGTAATCGTTTTGTGGGTCGGTCCGTTCAGCTTTGTGTTGGGCTCTTCACGGGCCACTTTCCCAGCCTGGACAGTCAGGGAGCTAAATTTGGGAGACAGGAGATCAGGTTCCATCTGTGCACGTGACTCGGTCTCATTTACTTGAGCAACATCTCAGTTCATACAGACACGCTCTGAGCCCAGAACCTCAGTAATCCTCAGAACAGTCCCTGATCCTCACCTGAAGTGAAGGAACTCTGATTATTTTATAAATATATACAGTTCTGAATTGGACTGAATCTTTTGGAGCTTCTCTTCTGCCCGCTGCGTTGCTTCTTTGAGTACCGACACCCCCGGCAGGAGAAGGACGCCGCTGACCTGCCATGTTTCTCGCTCTGACGGTGACACCAGAGCTGAGGCAGTTCCTGGCCAAGGCAAGAGGTGGAGCGGTGCGCCTCATCAAAGTGTGCATCCGGGATGGTGAGTGACCCACAGACTGGCCCCCCAGGGGGCAACTTTCTGTGCAAAAAAAATGTCCGGGTAATTTGATGGCGTGCAGAAAATAAAAATCACACTTGTTCCATCTGTTTATAACAAGTTCTCCAAATTTTAATAGTCAACAGCCCAGAACCTGAACATGTTTTTTTTGTTAGTGGTGTTTGAAAATGTACGGGCCATGCTGTTCTACTTCTTTTCACTAGATGTGCTCAAACACTAAAACTATTGCATTTGAAGTTTTAGCTGCTTTATTACCTGTGGATGAAGCTGAAATCACAATTATTAAAAGAAAAACTGGTATTTTAGGCAACAACAACAAAAGATTGGGGGATAATTGCACCTTTTCTCACTAGTTTCAAACAGGTGTGGAGTTTAGACATTGTTTAATTAAAGTCTTTAATATTTGTACAGAAACAATTTCAATTTAGTTCCAATAGATGTTTCATCATGTGACTGCAGAGGCCCACAGTCCCCTCCGGTTGATGAACAGGTGCTGCAGCTGTTCTTCAAGAGTGCAAGCACCACAAACAAGTTAGGAAATGTCTGAGCTCTTTGGCGTTGTTTAAGAAAACAAGGCTAATCCAGCTGCTGCGTCAGAGCGGGGGCTCAGTGTGACAGCTGAGCAGCCTGACCCCCCCATGTGAGGCAATGGCTTTCTAGGCAACTGATTCTTCATGAGGCGTTCTTGTTTTTAAATCTGACCAACTGTAATATGACTCAGGTCAGGTGCATTCTGGGGGTCTGTCTTTGTGGACTGCAGTCATTATGGGTGGGGGGGACAGAGCAGACCGTCAGGATCCTTGAACCGATCATGATCATCATCACATCAAATGATGGTCCATAAATTTAAGTGTAAGAGTGCAGCACTTAAACTTCTCAGGTTGTTCTATAACTCTGCTCTTTTTTCAGTCCGTTTACCAAAGTAACACTGTTTGGCTCCATGTTTAGATTTGATTTAAACGACTGTGTTAAAATAACGTTCTTGCATGAAGCACAGAAACACCAGTTTGGTTTTAATTCTTCAGGTTTGTCAGTTTTATTGTTGAGGATTTGTTCTCAAGTCAAAGGAGAGGCTGGAAGTTGGTTCTCTCACCTCAACCCCCCTCAACATCTTAAAATTAATAATAAAAGTATGAGTTTACAACATCCGGGTATCCCCAGCCACAGCGTGTGAAGATGATGATTCGACCTATAAAGACGGCAGAGGAAGGCGGATGGAAAGTGTGTGTGCAGAGCTGGAATGTGTCGCAGCTCAAAATAGCAGCAGGCCCCAAGAGACAGTTGAGCAAAGACCCCCGCACCCCGCTGAGGTCATCAGACTGCAGGTTTACGAGTGTTTTTACAAGAGTTTCAGTTTAACCAGTTTCAGTTCCTGATTTTAGATTGAACTTTTCCTTTTTTCACCACAGTCCAGACGGACTTGCTGTGAGAAAAACGGCAGCTTTTACGAATTAAAACTATGAATATGAATCTAATCTGTTTTAAACCATCCAAGAAGAGAAAAATGTAAAAAGATATTAGAAAAACAGGTTCATCTTACACGAGTTAAATAATCTTTGTATTTTATTTTATAAGTGATTATTTTTTTTAGTAATTTAGTTCGGGGAGTTAACCTCCTGAGGCCCAAGCTTTTGTTCGGTGTGCACTTTTCTCTTCCTCCAAAGTACATGGGATTAGCAAGAACCTAATAAGTTCACTAACTAGACTCTGTCATGATGCAGGAAGTGGTTTTAGAAAAACATAACGATGTCCTCATAGGAGGACAGTAGGTTTATTTTTGCATTTTATATTTTTCTTTGCAAATTGATGTCAGAAGTCCCCAGTAACTAACATTTCAGCTTAAGCAGTTCTCTAAAAAAAATCAATGTCCTTTATGAGGATGCTGGGTCTCAGGAGGTGAAATTATTTTTTAAATAAAATGTATAAAAAGAGCAAAACATTTGCCTTTTTTTAACATCAAATATTCTAAACTTTTTTACTGTTTTCTTTTTCGGTACCACTTTACAATAAGACTCCCCTTATAGATGGTTAATAAATAGTTTATTGATATGTTATTAATTCCTCTATAAACACTTTATAAATTATTAATAACTGCTTATTATGCATTAATTAAGGGTGACAGAGACAAAACTGACCAGTTTGTTGCCAAATAGTGAGTCAAATCTGTTCACCTATATATTTCATCTAGAGTTGTTATATTAAACATTTCAGACTAAGTTACTACCTTGTAGCACAATAAACATTTGTAAACCTATTTCTTTAGCATATAATTTACTTTATCACTGCATTATAAGTATCTACAACTAATATTGTATCCTAAAAAATAGTTTAACAAATGCTTATTGTTCTTACAAGGTAGTAATTTAATCTGAAAAGTTTAATATAACAACTCTAGATGGAATATATAGGTGAACAGATTTGTCTCACTATCTGGCAAAAAACTGGTCAATTTTGTCTCTGTCACCCTTAATTAATGCATAATAAATGATTATTAATGATTTATGAAGTGTTTATAGAGGAATTAATAATTATCTATAAATAAGTTATTAATCATCTATAAGGGGAGCCTTATTGGGCGGCTGTGGCTGAGTGGTTAGAGCAGTCGTCCTCCAATGCAAGAGTTGGGGGTTCGAACCCCACAACAGTCACGTGCCGAAGTGTCCCTGGGCAAGACACTGAACCCCTCGTTGCCTCCGATGTGTGTCCCATCGGTGCATGAATGTGATAAATCACTGATTAGTCTCTTTAGAATGATTTGTTCAATTAGCTTTGTAGAGATCTAGTAGAGTGCTGTATGAACGGGTAAATGAGGCACAGACTGTGCTGTAAAGCACTTTGAGTGTCTCAATAAGATGGAAAGGCGCTAGATAAGTACAGTCCATTTACCATTTACAGTCCATTTATTGTAACGTGGTACCTCATTTTCATATTCTCCATTTCACACGTTGTTTTTCTGTTGTATAAGTAAATAAGGACATTGCAGACAACAAGTTAGAGTCTTAATGGTGAGTGTGAACATCTTTGCTGTGTGGGAGATCAAACATGTTTTTGTGCTGAGGTATGTGATGGGTGCTGGTCTGGTTTTCAGAGCAGCTGGTGCTAGGGGCCTACACAGAACCAGAACACGACTGGGACCAGGACTATGACCACCTCCTGCTTCCTCTGCTGGGAGACGAGGAGCCCTGCTACATCCTGTACCGCCTGGACTCCCAGAATGCACTGGGTTACGAGTGGATTTTCATCTCATGGTCTCCTGACCAGTCTCCAGTAAGATGCATTTATCAGCACCAAATGTATTTTTATGAACAAATGTTCATGTTTCTAAAACGTTTAGCCTCTAAAGCACAAACTGGACTCCTCATGCTCCTTCAAATCAAAACGTCGGCCTTTTTATAACCCAGACAGTGCCTTTTTAAATCTGCAGGGTATTTCCCATGCAGGCTGCTGCCTAACTATTCATGGAGCGGTCAACATAAAAGATGTCTAAGCCTTCTGCAATAAAAATAGACCTTAAAGTCATGATGTTTTCCCAACCCCGTTCAGCTGATTGAAATGCCCGACGTGGCAGAGTTGTAAAAAGAGAAGGACAAATTGTAAAAACAGCTGGTTCTGAGCTGAAGGCACCTGGTGCAGCTTATGCACGAGGACCGTGTTTGTTGGAAACCAGTGCGACTAAAAGGGACAGTGTCTGCACTGCATTGAAAATGGACTCGGTCGTCTGCTAACCCTGAGGTTTCTGCTGCGTTTCTGCTACTTTTCATCCAGAGCTGCAAAACTTGCTTGAAATAAAGCTGCAACTTGAAATAAATCTTAATATAGGTGATGAAATTAATCATCTGTAATGTATTGTTGAATTTTAAATAGGAAAGTGTGTTTTTGTGCAACAATTACAACTTTGCGAGTCCTTTTCATGTTTGTGGAAAAGTAAAAACAAAAGTTTTGGGTCTAAAATTGTGGAACAAATTGTCTTTGCACATTAGACAGCTGCTTCAAATCCCCACTTTAAAAGTCGTTTTTGTTCTTTTATCTTTTATTTCTAGTGTCATTGAGTTAGTTGTACATTTGTTTTATTGCCTTGCACCGTACAGCGCCTCATTCCATTGAAGAGTTTCAAAGGGCTTTACAAATAAAACTGAATTGAATTTAAAGCATTCAGCTTTAAAATAATAAAGCATTTACTGGCATCCCAATTTCTTAGGACAAGCATAATTGGACCAGTTTGTTGGATGATTAAGTGTGACTTATTGACGTTTTCTCTTTCAGTGGTAAAGACAAACCTTCATTTGTTATAGTTTTTATTGATGTTTTTAATCAAAGATATGTCTTCACTCCTAAATCGTGTTATTTGCCACATATTTTTGTAGAACGCCTTATTTTGATGACACGTGACGTTTTATCTGTTTCCCCCCTCAGCAACTTGCTACAAATGGGATAAAGATGTTAAAGTTTCATGTGAATTTCAGAGAAAGAACACGCTGTGACAGGAAGTTAAATTTATGAAGTGGCTAATGGGCTAACAAACTTATGATTGTTCGTATAATTCTCTCATTGACCCTGAAGAACTTTGCGCTCCACATTTTTATTTCTTAACTGAATGACATTACCCGGTAATATGTAGCACATTTGCAAATTCAACTAGAGAAATTGCATTTCCTGTGAAAAGGCAGTGTGAATGCTTATTGCAGAAGAACTTGCTGAAAAACAGCTGAAATTGTCTAAAAACCAACTGAAAGGTATAGCTGAAATCAAGGAACAAGCCTAAGTGAACAGAAGAAAGAAGAAAAAACACATATTTGCTGAATTGGGTTTAAATGAGCAGAAATGAGCACAAAGATTAGTAAATTGGCTAAAAAAAAGTCTGAAATTAGCAAATAACAACTAAAAAGTAGCTGAAAAGGCAGAAAGAGGCTTAAATTACCAGAAAGAAGTGGAGAGAGCACAATTTTGTCTAATTAGGGCTTAAAGGAGCAGAAATTAGCATGGAAGTGGGAAACTATCTTTAAAAAGCAGAAATTTGTTAAAAATAAAACAGCTGAAAAGTAGCTAAAAAGGCAGAAAGAAGCTTAAATTACCAAAAGGAAGTAGAGAGCATATTTTTGCTGAATTAGGCTGAAAAAAGTTTAAATGAGTGCAAAAAAAAAAAAAAAAAAAGTGGAATTAGCTGAAAAGGCTAAAATTAGTGTAAGCATAGCTAAATAGTAGCAGAAATACAGATACTTTGTAGTTGAAACTTGCAGAAATAAGCTGAAAGGAGCCTAACAAGCTGAAATTAGCAGAAAGAAGTTAGAAGAAGCCCAAAAATGTTGTTGTTAGTGGAATAAAGCTGAAAGGAGCACAAAACAGCTGAAATCAGCTGAGAGTAGCTGAAATTTTATTTTCTTTGCAGACGGAAGCTGAAAGAAGCTGAACTGGAACAAAATATGAAAAGAGCAGTAAAAGGTTGTAAACCGATCTAAAGATTTGAAGGATGTAAAATGAGGTCAGTTCATTTTCTATTTGGAAAAAATGTCAAAAAGTCTAAATATTTCAAAAAGCTAAAATTGCACCAATACCAAAAGTCACCCTTCTCTGAAAGAGCTGAATATTTTTATATGATTTGTTGAAATAGCACAAAAATTGTGGAAACAGATAGATGCCAAAAAATGTTTAGAAGTATAGTAACTATAAGATATAAACAGGATCACAATAGTGTGAATGCTTAATAAAAATTCACACAATAATGTACAGTATGTCTGAATATCTAAATCTAACCCAGTTCTTTGTCTCACCAAAATGATAAATTTGTAAAAATGCATAACGCCTTTCCTATTTGTCTTTTATAAAAATCGTGTTTTTAAATTACCAGTACCCAAATTGTAGATTTGTAGAAATTTCATACACATTTGACAATTTGTAGGACTGTCATAGATTTTCAGTTTTGTCCTCGCTGTTCGCAGGTGAAACAGAAGATGCTGTACGCCGCCACGCGTGCCACAGTGAAGAAGGAGTTTGGCGGCGGCCACGTGAAGTACGAGATGTTTGGCACCACAGAGGTCAAATGTTCACCCTTATTTGACAAAATGCCTATAAACTGCTGTGGTGACACGATTTTCAGACTTGTTTTGCTTGCAACTCTAGGAGGACATCTGTCTGCAGGGCTTCCAGCATCACGTGTCGTCCTGCTCGGGTCCGGCCCCGCTCACACTGGCCGAGCAGGAGCTCCAACGGATCAAAATCACTGAGGTGAGAGGTCAGCATGTCCTCAGCGATGGCGTCACCATTTCACATAACTTTGTGCATGAGCTGGTTCCCTTTTTTAACCACGTGCTGCTCTTGTCCTGTATGTATCTCATGCCATGTAAGGTAACTTTCTTATTATTGTCTTTTCAGGGCCGGGTTAAACAGGTATGTTTGACAGTGATTACTGTGTAGATTCCAGGGAGATTTGGAGTTTGACACAGTAAAACTTGCCTGTTTGCTTCCCCCTGCAGGTGAAGACGGAGATCAATGTGGAGAGCAAGCACCAGACTCTTCAGGGCCTCGCTTTCCCCCTGCAAGAAGCAGCCAAAAGAACCCTGCTGCTGATGGCCCAGAAACGCATCAATTATATACAGCTGGTGAGCCGGAGGAGACGACACCCATCAACGACAGACAAAACGACCATATGAAGAGCCGTTTAGCATCCGAAGAGCAAACATTTAAAGACTTCTCTGCATTTATCGTTGTGTTTTAGAGGCTGGATGTAGAAAAGGAAACGATCGAGCTGGTCCACTCAAACCCGACAGAAACTCAGGATTTGCCCCGCAGGGTTCCCAAAGACACTCCCCGATACCACTTCTTCCTTTACAAGCACTCCCACGAAGGAGACTACCTGGAATCTGTTGGTACGATGCTGAATCCTTGATCCATCGCAATCTCGTGCGCACACCTGAACAGGTTTCCACACATCCACCTGTAGTCCAGGACATCAAACAGTTGGACCCATTTCACCAGGAACAGTGTCTCCAAACGGTTTTTGTCTCTTTGATAAATGCATTAAAAGATTAAATACAGTTCAGCTCAGGTAAAGTCTGTAGAACTAAAACACATCAAATATTGATTTAAAACATTTGTTCTTTTAAGAAAAATGCATTTCAGTTCAGTAGATGACAAGTGTGGGCAGAGCCACGTCCTACAGAGCATGCTTTGTTTTATTAAAATATGCGAAACCTTTTCTGAGAAACACTTTCTAGGAAAGGCGTGTAGCTTCACAAAGTTCATATTTTGTTCGAGCTCAACGTTGCCTGAAATAAACTCCTGCAGCCTTGGACCTTCTGTGGATGCCCTCAACACAAACACGTCCGTTTTTAATCTAAAAGGCCAAAACGTTTGGTCATTTAGTCTTTGTTTTATATTTTTAAATCCTACTTTAGTATTTTCTGCATCGGCCATTCGACACTAGATTGAACCGTTTTTTTTTCTTTTATTAAAACTTTTTCTGGAATCAAGTCAAACTAGAGAAATTGCTTTTCCTGCAAAAATGCAGTGTGAATGCTTAGTGCAGAAGAACTTGCTGAAAAACAGCTGAAATGGAAGCACAAGCTTAAGTTAGCAGAAGAAAACTGAAACATATTTGCTGAACCAGATTTAAATAAGCAGAAAGCATAACATTTAGGAAATTGGCTAAAAATGCTGAAAATAGCACAAAATCCCCTAAAAAGTTGCTGAAAAGACAGAAAGAAGTTTAAATTATCAAAAGAAAGCAGAAAGAGCTGAAATAAGATAAAAAATGTGGAATTATCTGAAAAGCTAAGATTAGCATAAAACAGCTAAATATTAGCTGAAATAACTGAAACTAGCAGAAATAAACTAAAAGGAGCATAACAAACTGAAATTAGCAAAAACAAGTTAATTAAGCTGAAAGTAGCAGAAATCACCACAAAAAAACTTGAATTAATAAAAAAAAACTGCTGAAATTAGCTAAACAGGTTACAAAGATAGCTGAAATTGTTAAATTAGCAGAAGAAAGCAGAAAAAAACACTTATGCCAAATTAGGCTGAAAGAAGTAAAAATGAGCACAAAAAAATTGGAAATAATCTAAAAAAAAAAAGGCAGAAATTTACCCCAAAAAAAAACAGCTGAAAAGTAGCTAAAAAAGCAGAAAGAAGCTTAAATTAACAGAAGGAAATGGAGACAGAACATCTTTGCTGAACGATGCTGAAAAAAGTTGAAATGAGCGCAAATAATGTGGAATTGGCTGAAAATGCTAACATTAGCATAAAAACAGCAGAAATAGCAGAACAAGTTTAAACTAGCAGAAATAAGCTGAAAGGAGCATAAGCTGAAATTTGCAGAAAGAAGTTAAAGAAGCACAAAAATATTATAGTTAGCAGAAATAATCTGAAAAGAGCACAAAACAGCTGGAATTATCTGAAAGTAGTTGAATTTGTTTTGTTTTATTTGTACAAGGAAGCTGAAAGAAGCTGAACCAGAACAAAATGTGAAAGGAGCAGTAAAAGGTTGTAAACATCTAAAGATTTCAAGGATGTAAAAAGAGCTCAATTCATTTTCTACGAGAAAAAAAGTGTCAGAAAAGGCTAAATATTTCAAAAAGCTAAAGGTGCACCAATACCAAAAGTCAAAGCAGGATTGTCCTGAACGAGTTGAACGTTTTGAAATGATTTGTTGAAATAGCTTAAACTGCTGGACGAGAATCGTGCTGAAAATTGTACGGAAGAAAAATGGATCACAATAGAGTGAATGCTTCATAAACATTCACAAAATGTTTTAACTATTTAAAAGCACATTTAAAAATAACTAGCATTATTGTTTTTGTATAAATATATATATTTTTGCTCATAAAATTATAAATGACTTTTAAAAGATAAATGTCAGATTCTACATTTGATATGTAAATTTAGGGTTTTAGTCATGTGCAAACACTTGTGTTCTGCATTTGTTTGCATGCACAGGGCTTCTTGTCTAACATGTCAATAGCTCTCTGCTGTAATTACCTAAAAACCTGTAGCAGCCTAAAATGAAGCAGCAGATTCGTAGTTTGTCATCAAACAAAATGTTTAAAAGGGTGATATTATTCTAATTCTGCTTCTCTTCCCACAGTGTTTATCTACTCCATGCCAGGATACAGCTGCAGCATCAAGGAGCGGATGTTGTACTCCAGCTGCAAGAGTCGGCTACTGGAGGACGTGGAGAAAGATTATCATTTGGAAATAGCTAAAAAGGTGCCAGATGGGACTGAACATTAGAAAACATGGTTTCATACGCAGTTTTTACAGCGAACACTGATCGTCACCTACTGACTTGCTGAAACTATGGCCCTTAATTTTCTGCTTTTAAACTCAGACAGGGCTGAGGTTTTAGTTTTTGGACGTGAGCATCTTAGAAATAAATTTTTCAGTCTTTCGCCCTCCTTGGATGGCTTTAATCTGGCCTCCAGTTATAATGTTAAAAAACTTGGTGTTATTTTTGATCAGGACATGTCTTTTATCCCCCACATTAAAAATGTTACTAGAACTGCCTTTTTCCACCTGCGTAATGTCGCTAAAATTAGAAACATCTTATCTAAGAATGATGCAGAAAAACTGGTTCATGCATTTGTCATGTCTAGACTGGACTATTGCAATGGTTTATTATCTGGGTGTCCAAATACTTCTTTAAAAAGTCTTCAGCGGATCCAAAATGCTGCTGCCAGAGTCATAATGGGAGTTAGTAGGAGAGATCATATCGCTCCAGTTTTAGCTTCTCTCCATTGGCTCCCTGTCAAATCCAGAATTTAATTCAAACTCTTATTTCTAACCTACAAAGCTCTCAACAACCTAGCTCCATCTTATATTAGAAAACTTATTGTTCCATATTTTCCTAACAAAGCACTTCACTCTCAGACTGCAGGCTTATTTGCAGTTCCTAGAGTTTCTAAAAGCAGAATGGAGGAAGATCTTTCAGTTATCAGGCTCCTCTCTTGTGGAACCAACTTCCAGTTTCTGTCCATGAGGCTGACACATTGTCCAGTTTTAAGACTGGGCTGAAGACTTTCCTTTTTGATAAATCCTATAGTTAGGGTTGGCTTGTTATGCTGATATAGGCTTAGACTACTGGAGGCCAAATTGACCTCATTTCCTTAAATTAATTGTTAAAATTGAATAGTTTTCATTTGATACCATTTCTATCTTAACATGTGATTCTTGACCTGCCATTGTGTATCTGTTCCTACCAAACCCAGCCGGTCGAAGCAGATGGCCTCTTGTCCTGAGCCTTGTTCTGCTAAAGGTTTCTTCCTCATGAGGGAGTTTTTCCTTTCCACTGTCGCCTTCATGCTTCCTCAAGAGAGTTCTGTGATGGAGTTAAATTCAAAGCAGTCTGCTCCTCAGATAAATAATGTTAACTTACTTTTTATATATGAATGTTTCTGTCGTCAATGCTCTGAGACGACTTCTGTTGTGACTTGGCGCTATAGAAATAAACTAAACTAAACTGAAAAATAAAATTAAACACGGTGACATTTGTATTAATGAGTCATTAGAGCTAAAATATAATTACAGCTCATGAGAAACTGGTGTGACGATTCATGTAAAAGTTATTATTATTATTATTAATACTTACCTTCATTCAGACTCCTGCATCTTGTCCACCTGCATTATGACTGCTCTCTTTTTGTTTTGCATCAACGTGCAGCTGGAGATCGACAACGGCGATGAGCTGACTGAGGAGTTTCTGTACGAAGAGGTCCACCCCAAGCAGTACGCCCACAAACAGGCCTTTGCAAAGCCCCGCGGTCCCGCAGGAAAAAGAGGACATAAGCGTCTTATTAAGGGGACAGGAGAGGCCATTCACGACAGCTAGGGATTAATTTCCAGTTTGTCTGCACTTCCTGCCCGTCCTTCCTGTTTCTGCTCGAACAACTCGGAGAATGACACCGACCTGCTGTGTGTCCAGACAAACTTGCTACGGCTTCATTTATGATTGATTTGTGCAGATAAATCATCTTTAATCAGACTCTTTTGGTCAGTCTGGGATAAAGTTTTACACATATAGTAAGGAAATTTAAAAAAAGGCATTTAGAAGATTATCTTAATAATATAATCTGTTTTTCAGAATTTACAATCTGCAGTTTACAAAAGACTGAAACCAGTACTGACTTGTGACCATAGTTAATGGTTCCATTCAGCCCTAATGTTAACTTTTGTATCAACAATGTTTGTAAAAAAGCATCTGTGAAGAAATAAATTGTCATTACAGTTTTGTTTAAACTGTGGACTTGTTCAGCATGCATGCACTGACGTAAGTAAAACTCCTTTAAAGAAGAGTTAACGTTTCAGAGAGAGACAATGTGACTTCCACCAACACTCAAACAGGTTAAATGTACCCGAGTTAGCTAGACTCCTTTCTATTGGTGGTCCCCTGCATCCAGAGTAAATGTACATCAACAACAAAATCATCTGTCGTTCAAGTTAAAACATCTGCTGGAGTTCTGTTTCCAGAACACAAATCTACACAAAGACAGTCGGTTAGAGTGGATCTGCACAGAAACGAGCTGCTCTTTGAACAGCTATTATCTTACCTGCTGTAGATAGATGCTTGAGTAACCTCAGATTGACAGGATAATGGCTAATCTGAGCAGGAATAAAACCACAGTAGATCGATACCGTCTTAAAACAACTCCAGTTGTAATGATTGTATGTATATATATATATATATATATATATATATATATATATA